TAAAAAAAAAAAAAAAAAAAAAAAAAAAAAAAAAAAAAAAGGGCGGCAGCACACCACCTAATGAATATAGTTTCTACTAATAGAGAAATATTGTTACCACCCACCATATTGCTGACCTGAAAATTTTGAGAATTCTATAAGATGTTACAAAATTTATTTACCATATTTTTTTGATTAACTACTTTGAATATATATATATATATATATAGAATGAAAAAAAGTTTATTCTAAAAGATTGAAAAAAGGTTTTTATGCAAAGATTGTTTGTGCAAATTTCCTCTATGGAGAATATTCGCGAATGATCTTCTTTTCTCTTGATCGTCTTCTTTCTCGATCCATCCAAAATAATGGTGGTCAATCGGAGAACACCAATGTGGGTTGGTCAAGGGCCCTCCAATGCCTAAGTAAGTAAAATGGTCTCAAGGAGATGTAGATTTAACTGAAAGGATGGAGTTTTCCTCTCCGGGGAGAGGAGGAGGTGCGGACGCTGGGGAGGTGGCGTGGTGGAGAGAGAGAGAGAGAGAGAGAGAGAGAGAGAGAGGTGAGAGGCGTGAGCTTTTGGGGTATTTTGCTAGGGTTTCAGAATTATCTCATGTGTGGTGTGATGCCATCTTTATATACAATCTCCATCTTTGGTAGGGTTTGTAGAGAATAATTCCCTATTAATGGAAGTTATTCTTTTCCATAAATGAGATGACATGATAAAATCAAGGAGATTTGGTAGACATCGAATCCTTGATTTATGGAGATATTCCTATCTTAAATAAGGATAATTGGCTAATTAAATGAGATTTAATTAGCACAATTATTTGACCTAAGGAATATTCATTCTTCCACGTATCACCTTCAGATTGGTTGCCAAAATTCCATGTTCCTACAAAGATGTTTTTATATATATATATAAGAGCTTCAATTGAGGGACACCCTTATAGGGCCCACTTTGCATGTTATTTCACTAATCTAAATGTTTATTTGGCATATATTCATTCAACGATCATCCCAACAAAAAATCACTTAAATCCATTATCATTTGACCACTCAATTACATTATTGAAATTTAAGTATTTTCTTAAAGTATCGTGTTCATTGATTTTATCGGTCTCAATTAGATACCTTAGTGATTTTCAATTTGCCTGATTTTTTGCAAGGATGATCTATGAATGAAGATGTGAAAAATAGAATTTTTGGATCGCTGAAATTTTTTTCGTAGAGTACCCTAAAGGGTGTCTCTCAAATAAAATTATTTAAGGGATCCCTCAATAGAAGGGGACTGTATATATATATATATATATATATATATTTAAGGTACCCTATGAATTGTTTTTCAACAATCTTAACCGTCTATTTTTCAAGTGTTTATTCATAGATCATCCTTGCAAAAAATCAAAAAAATTGAAAATCATTAAGGCATCTAATTGTTAGCAACAAAATAGAGGAATACACGATGCTTCAAACTAAAATAACAATAATCTAATTGAGTGGTCAAATGGTTTTGGATTGAAGGATGTTTTTGCAGATATGATCTTTGAATGATATCTAAAATTTAGACGGTTCAAATCAATAAAACATAATGTATGGTGGGCCCTACAAGGATGTCTCTAAGCTTATTTGAAGGATCTCTCAATAGAAGTTCATCATATATATATATATATATATATATTAATATTAAACGTGGAATGTCTTAAAATATTAATGATTTCTGAAAAACAAAAACGAACAGTAATGATTTTCATTATCCATCCTATAAGATGCCTGGAATTTTGTTGCAAATATCCATATACATGAATGATGGGGGCCAATGCACTGGAAGACACATATCAGCCACTACGCAAAACTTGTGTTGGGGTGGTAAGGGCATCATTTCTCACGTATATTGAAGCCCCAAGGAGTTCATTGGTTTATGGGGTTTGCTGGGAAATTTGCTTCTTTTAGTTTCATCATTAAAACTAAAGGGTTTGCACTTTAAATTGTTAATGATAAAACTAAGGGGTTCAGTTAAAATTGTTAACAATATTTATTGAGTTTTTCTATTTAAACCCCACACTTTTCTTTGTTCACCCCAATACTTAAATCATTAAGCTCTTAAGTTTTATTATTGTGTAAAAAGACAAAAAAGGTCATCCAACTTCATTCTCAATGCTGCTACACATTTGACAATAATGTTTTTATCTCTTTAAGTAATGTGACTTTGAGGTGAACTTAGAGTGGTGATGGCCAAGATAGTGGGGTGTGGAGTGTGAGGTTGATGAGTTTTTTATTTTATTTTTTCTATTTGGTGTGTATTTAGAGGTAGTTTGAGAAGATAGTGGGGTTTTCTTAGAAAATTGTGAAAATTTGAATTAGAGGTTAGGGTAAACTTAGAACATGGGATGAACAAAGAGAAGTACGGGGTTTAAATAGAAAAATCATATTTATTTTTGTATTCAAATTCTTTTATTAGATTTATTCCTCAATTTATAATATTATAAACAAATATGTTAAGGACCTTTTATAACATACATCTAGAAATCCTCTTCAAATTCCTACAATTTTAGAAGGAAAAGAGGAAAAAAAAAGTGTTACATCTGAACATATGAGTGTGACTTTTTTCGGTTTCTCTATGTTTGGAATAAGTCACAAAGACTCGTTGGGTTCTCTGTGTAGTTTTCACCTCTCCTTTTGTGAGAACTTTACATCTTCTTTGTGAGAGCTTTTTATCTCTTTTGTGTGAGAGTTTTATTTGTGTTGTTATGGCTTGGTTTTTTCAAGCTTTATCTCTTTTTGATTATTCTGAGTTTGCAATCTTAATTAGGATGCCTATGCTAGAGTTTTTTCAATCCTATGTGATCGTTAATAGAGACGTACCCGATTGTTTTAATTTTATGTTATACTTCTTCGTTATTGTAATAGTCTTTTGTGGCTATTAACTTTTTTGACTGAATTATTAGAATTTCTAAATAAATAAAAAACATATTAGCGCGACACATCATGTAATTTGAAATTTTACTTAGGAAGAGGACACATATGTTTTTTTTTTCGTCATTATTAATGAAGATGCCTTAAATGTAGAGGATCCCAAGAAAGATGAAGATGGTCCCTAGTCCGCTTGACTTAACTGAAATACTGAATGAATGGTGCACAACAATTTATTAAAATATAACATCATTCTTCTTGGTAAGGACTATTACATCCATCGCCATCTACTGGCTCGTGTTATTCTTGTCTTTTCTTAGTGCTGCTGGTGCCGTCCCTTTCACCATATGTCTCCTTGTCATTTAACTCGTTGCACAAGGATCATCAAATTTGAATAGGTTATAATACTATTATGTTATTTTTCATTTTATTATTATTATTATTACTGTTAGAACTTAGAGGTTTTTAAAAAAGATAATTTCATTCATAAAACCAAAAAGGCATATAGCGGCACAAATACAGTGATTTTGTTAAAATCATTAACTAAGGGGTTTGCAACTCAATTTATTTTTTTGAGAAGTTATTGTTAGAACTTAGAGTTACTATCCATTATTGCAACGTGTGAGACTTGATTCTCTTATTTTGACTTAAATAGGTTATAATACTAATAGGTAATGAACTAGTATAGATCTGTTACGGATGTAGTGGCAGGTGTGGCCGTGACGAATCTTTTTTAGGTGATGGGTAGGGTGTTTAGGCTAATGAGTTGTTTTAGGGTTTCAGTTATGTTGGGTTTGTTGGTTTTGTTTGAGCTTATGGTTAATTGTGGTGCTGTGGGTTAGTAGTTTTAGTACGACTTTTGTCCTCATGAGTTTTGCTTTTAGTATGTTAGTTTCTTGCCCTCTTGAAATTGATACTTTAAACACTACTACAAAAAGTGACAAAGACGACTAGAAAAAAACGACGGTCTAAGTGAAAACCGTCGTTGTTTTTTAAAAGACGACGGTTTTATAAAACCGCCGTGTAATAACACCTTAGACAACTAAAAAATGGAGATTCAAATGGCTATTCCTAAAACACGACGTACCTAATTAAAAAACTGATGTCTTATTGAAATAGGATTTCCGAGTAGTAAAATCAAAGCCAACAAATAACGGCGGAAGTTATGAACCGACCGATGTAGAAAGTAAAGACAACGATTTCAAAAAAAGCCGCCGTTTTTACCCAGAAATTAACACGACCAAGTTTTCGTATAAGGCGCCGTATAATTACAAATAAATCCACGGCGGTAAAATACAAAATACCGCCGTATTAAATTATGTACAACTATGGCAAAGATAAATATAACGACGTCTTTCTCGTATTTTCTACAATGGTATCTTTATATCTCACCACGTTGGGGTTTTCATTTAACAACGTATTATAAAATTTAACGTCGTATTTATTCACTTATACGTCATACATTATATTTAAACCGTCGTCTGAATAAGAATTTTTTTAACAATTTATTTCTTGGATTTTGTTATCCTACGTCGGTAGATCTACTTAATGACAAGAATTGAAATAACCACGACGGTTTATATAGAAAACCGCCGACATAATCAGATTTTTCTGAGATCACAAGGGTTAGGAAATCTTACAAGATGGAACTCTGTTCCTCATCATAATCTTACCAGAAAGACAATATTTTAGAGGTTAATGATGTATGTGTATTTGTGTCTTTGAGATACACAAACGCACATACACATTAACATCCAAAAAATTGCCTCTGAAATTTGACGACGGCAGCCTCAGATTTGCAATCAGAGAGACAATTTTTTGGAAGTTGATGATATGTGTGCGTTTGTGTATCTACACAAACGCACACACACATTAACATCCAAACAATTGCCTCCTAAAACTTCACGACGGCAGCCACAGATTTGCAATCAGAGAGACAATTTTTTGAAAATTGGTGATGTGTGTATGTTTGTGAATCAGATACACAAACATACACACACACCAACATTCAAACAATTGCCTCCTAAGAGATGAGGTGAGACAGAGAAAGGGCCAAGAAGAAGTTGAAACCCTAATCGAAAGTGCTGAAGAAGAAGTTGAAACCCTATATGAAAGTGCTAAAGGGGTATGTTCAGAATCGTACTCGTCTCGAAGGTTGCATTGTTGAGCGGTATATAGCTGAAGAAGCTGTAGAGTTTTGTACCGAGCATTTATCTGATGTTAGTACAGTTGGAGTGCCTTCAAGCCAAAAGATGGGAGTTTCAAAGCCATTATCAGGTTGCACAGTGAGCGTAGTTGATCGGGACCTGTTGAACCAAGCACATCTATATGTCTTGGAGAATACGGAGGAAGTCCTACCTTATATCGAGTACGTATGAGTTTTATTCTTTAAGTTTCCATTTTAAATTATTTCTTATGTTTATCTTATATGTTTGGGACTGTAATACTTGAATTTTGTGTGTCATGTAGGCAACATATGATCCACATCCAGACCGCTTATCCAAAATTTAGAAAGAGAACAAAGTGGCTGCAGGATAAGCACAATAGCACTTTCATTCAATGGCTACGCTTCAAGGTATATGTTATTGAATAACATATTGGACTTTTAATTTTCTTCTTTCTATGTTAGATTGAATTAAGTTATGATTAATTTGCAGGTTCAAAGTGAACTTAATGAGGAAGACAATCATGGCGTATCAGAAAATTTAAGGTGGCTAGCAGCTGGTCCAAACATGGCAGTGCCATTATATAGGAGCTATCTCATTAAAGGTATTAAATTCAACATCAAGGCACAAGATGATGTGCGGACAACTCAAAATAGTGGAGTTTATTTACTTGCACATACTATGCAAGTTGCTAGTGCCAAGGATAAAAACCCAATTCTCTCAAATATGGGTTTCTATGGTGTCATTCAAGAAATTTGGGACCTTGACTACCAAAAGTTTACAATCCCAGTCTTTAGGTGTGATTGGATTGATAATACTTCTGGTCTTGTAGTGGACGAACTTGGATTTACCCTTGTAGATTTGAGTAAAATTGGACATAGGAATGACCAATTTGTTTTGGCTTCTCAAGTCAAACAAGTATTTTTTGTTGACGACCCGATGCATCGTGGTTGGTCGGTAGTGTTATCAATGCCTAATAGAGAATATAATGATGTTATTGGTGATGATGTCTTAGGTGATGTGAGAATTGAGTGTGAGCCATTTACTAGGGGGATGCCAAATGTTGACACATTTGATGAAGTGGTGGGTTGAGTTAGGGAGTCAAAATATTCGAGATGGGTGTGAAGATATATGGGTTGAATGATGCTTTATGTAATTGGCAGTGTATGACATTAATTTTGTAATATATTGTAATGTGATTTCTTCACTTTCATTATACAGGTTTTGGCCACAAAACAATCAGTACAAAAATTACTGGTTCCAGATTACAAACACGACGGTTTTGATAAAAATGTGAAAAACAAACGTCTGTTCTAATAAATAACGACGTTTTGGAGCATTCAACGACCGCAATATATTTACCGACGTCTTAAAGCAACGTAACAATGAAGAACCACGACGCTATTGTGAAACAGTTATCCAGGATAACACGTCGGACAAGCATAAAGAACCGCCATGTAATTCAAAATAACACGACTCCAATCCCATAATACCGACGTCTAAAAGACGAGAACTTTAACCTGAACGTTACAAAAGACGACGTCGTCATGAATTTACCACGTCGCATGTTCTTTCATAAACGAAGTGGAAAAGGATGAATTCACGACGGTATTTGAAGTCCATTAAATTTGTCGACGTTAAGATTTATGAATTAGACGACGTTAATTTTTTTAATGAAGACGTATAAATTATTAAACACGACGGTCTTTTTCATGGTAACGACGTTGTATATAGACGACAACGTCGTCCTTATAAATTACTGTGTCGTAATTAATGACCCCATCATTTTTTCCACGTCGTTTATTTTCAAAATATGACGTATAAATTCTGTAATACGGCTCTCATTTATTTGGAACCGACGTTGTTTATTTCATTTCAACGTCGTCTCTGTAAATACATGCGTCGTAAGTAATGACCCTGACATCTATTTCCACGTCATAATTCATAGAAAAATCGAAGTGGAAAATTGATTTTACGACGGTTGTTGGAAATGTTGTGACGTAGTAGGTGTCAATAACGTTGTCTATTATGTATTTAAAGACGTCATATTTCTATATGTCGTTAAAGGTTTATTTAACGGCGTTGAGTTTTAGTTCTCGTCGTTGTATGTTTATCTTGCGGCCATGTTCTGTTAATATATGTCATATGTTTCCTTTTTAACGACGTTTTTTTTGTTAGAGTTGGTCGTCTATTCTCATCCTCGACTGTTTTTTTATGTCTTTTTGCAGTATAAAGACGTCGGTTTTTATTTGTTGATGACGTTTTTTGTTTTAACAACGACGGGTATTTACCGTCGTGGTTTTGTTATGGAAAAGATGTCGGTGGATTCCACGACCATTTGTAAACTGAATACACAACGGTGAATTCCTGTCGTGTTTTTCCTTTTTTGTAGTAGTGAAATGTCTTGTTGATGTCTTTGATTGTACAATTGAAGTTTATCTAATGAAGTTTCTCTTTGATACAAAAAATATAATGAACTAGCAGTTGAAGTAATTAAGAGCATGAATTCATTGCATCAGAGTTAGAGAAATCTTCTTCTCTCTTAATGGGCAAGCCACTATACCTTTTGTTTTTGGTCGAAGCCAACAATGTCTTCTAGGTTTGAGTGACAGCAAAGACCCCTCCCATAATGTATGGACTTTTTTGTTATACAGGATTGTTTTGTTATGAATTATGCTTAGGGACTATATTGGCTTGGTATAAGTTGGATAACACTTATCCTATTTTTGATGTATCCTTGGACTAGGACTAGATTTTTATTTTTTTTTCCAAAAAAAAGATATATATATGTATCTATGTATAAATACATATATTATGTACGTGTATATATGTATTTTGAAAAAAATATATCACACCAGATTGTATGACAAGTTGGACCCCAAAAACATAGCAACCAAAATTAAAAAGAGCATTTTGAATACAGATATAACCATAAAAAGAAGGAAACTTTAGCCATATTCAAAAGGGCTTGCCAAATCTATTCCTTTTATCTTTTGAGAGAAAGGCTTGTCAAACCTTTTGTCATATACTCGTTGTTGAATTCTTGGCTAGTCGCCATTTCATTAATGTTTGATTGCGTTAACAGTGATAACTAATATCATTTTTAGCCGTTTTACCCCTGAATTATCACGCTAATCAAATTTAATCCCATGAATTATTTTGACCGCCAGTTTAGTCCCTAAACACATTATAAATATCCATTTCCATCATTGTCATTAATTTCTTTTGAATTCCATCCATTTTTCTGTCACAATATCACAAGATTGACACGTGTCTAATTAGGAAGAGAGGGAAAGAAGGAGAGAGTGGGTCGAGAGCAGGGGTTGGGGGATGTTGTTGGGTGGGTTGGGTGGGAGAGAATGAAGAGAGGGAGAAGGGGTGCTTTAATTTGTTAATTTTTTTTATTATAATAATGTTAATTTTTTTTATTATTATTTTATCTTTTGGTTTACTGTATTTGATTTTTATTATTTGAAATTACAAATTTACCCTTATTATTAACAAAAAATTGGATGAAATTCAAAAAACTTAATCACAATGGCTAAATTTACTATTTTAATGAGTTTGAGTGCTAAATTGGCTGATATTTTAGTTTGAGGTTAGCGAGATACTTGATGGGGAAAATGACACTTTACCCTAACTAATATTAAGTTAATCATGAACATATCAATATATTAGGGTAAATATCTTAGTTTTGTGTTTGAAGGTTATCTAATGAAGTTATTCTTTGGTAAAGAAGTACTACGTACATAAGATGCACTCAGACTTGGGGTTCATTTTAAATTAGTACCAAAATTTTAAAGATTCTATAAACATAACAAGGAGCTTGTAGTTGAAGTGGTTAACAACATTTAACTCCGCACTTTAAGTCCTACTTTCAATTTTCACCTCCTCCAATATCAATTGTATAAAAAGTAGAAAAAAACCCTTGTCAAAAGTCAAGAAGAACCTTTACCCAAGACCCATTGTTCCCAAAAAATTAGCATGTCTGTTAAATAATGATGTGGCAAAACATGGACCCCAACATTATTTTTTTCTCATGTGGATGAAAAAATAATAAATCTTTTAAACTATTTGGGTCTACACTGGTTGTGGAATCAAAAATTCGCACCTCAGAACAAGACGTGCCATGCAGACTCTCCTTGCCAAAGTGTACAGAAATGTACTTAATGAAATGAGAGGGAAACTATCAAGTCTACATCGACTATACCAGTTCAAAATGGATCCTAACCACCATCCTACAATCAAAGATAGTGTCGTTGTGGGCTATGTCATCAAGTGCCAGGCTTAGGCTTGGGCTTTGCTGGTTGGCATGGGGCGTAGTGCTCTGTTAGGGTAGATGGACTTTTGAATTTCCCCCTCGTTTTGTAAGGGTATTCTGGTCATATTTGATGTTGAGAGTCCACGTGGTGTTCCCTCAGTTGAGGGGATATTTTTTGTCACCACATATGACCCCAGCTTCTGTGTTTCACGTAGGATGTGGAAAAGATGAATTGTTCTGGTTCACGTACTTCGCTTGTGCATTTCCTCTCGGTTTAGTGAATTGTAGGTTGTGGACTCTTTGAATTATGACGATAGGTTGTTATTAAAATTTGTGCTGCTCCGTTATTCCTCATTTGCTTTCCATAGAGATACGGTGCGCTTTTCAACACCACTTATTTCGCTTTCTTCGTTGAGAGAGAATCGAAACCCTTCCATTCTCCGCTATTTTTCTTCTACTTTTCTTCGTTTCCTTCCCAAATCAAACATGTCCGTCATGTCCTCGAGAAGAAAGAGCTGTCAGTCTTTGTCGAAAGTTCTTCCATATCAGATAGATGGGTCGTTGACCCGGCTTGAGCAATTCATGCCAAAATGGCCCTGTCTACAGCTAGGAGATTTTCCGAAAGTGGCAACCGGATGAAGTAGTGGTGAGGCTTGTTGCAACAAAGAGTGGGTTGAATCCTTGCAAAGGTCTGGCTCGTGTTTGGCATGCAATCAAGTTCCACCACTTCTACATCTCTCTAGGGTTTAAGTTCCCTAAGCAAAGATTCTTCAAGGAGGTGTTTGCGGTAATGAGAGTTGCATCGATGCAATGCACGCCGAACTTCTTAAAGGCAATTATGTGCTTTGAGAATCTGGGTCTGTTCGTTGAGCTCGACTGTGGTTTACAAGAGTTCCTCCACTTCTTCAAGATGAGGTGCTTCAGAAATTACGCCTAGTTGAGGTCTGCAAACCACAAGCTACTAGACGATCTCAGCACTAGAGACCATGATTGTAATAGAGACATGCTAGTAGTCAACGGTGACTGGGAAAGCGATGAGGACCTTAAGATTCTGATTGCCTTATGCCCTGGTAAGTCTTCATGCTTTGACTGGTTTTGACTTGATTGAGGATGATTCCTTTGTGCTGAAATGTTGAATGGTTAACCATGGCTTGATTGTGTGTTGCCAGATGACTAGATTGTCAAGAGGATTTCCACCACTCAATATATGTTAGATGGTTTGTCAGGTGCTGGGCATCCTGACTGAGTATGGGGAATGAAGGTGGTTGTTGAGTCCACTTAGGCTCGAAGAAGGAGGTCTTCCCTCTGTTGATAACATAATGTGGTGGAAAAGGAATGCTCATGCTTTACAAGATGATGACGTCGTGATTGAGGTGTCTTCTATTGAGGACTATGGGAAGAGGAATGAGACTAAGGTGTCTTTGCACCCTGATTAGCTCTCTCCTTTCTCCAAGAAGCCCATGTTGATATTTGTTATGGTAAGAGAGTCTTATGCTCCCTTGGATTAGGCATGTGTTGGGGTGGATCCTGTCATGAGGTAGATGAAGTTGAAGGGATTGCTCATCCCTCCTTTTAAAGGAAGAAGAAGGCAGTTCCAACCTAGCTCTTTATTGGTTGTGCGCTAAAAAATGGCCCATCAGCAGTGGAACCAACATTTGGCTATAGGGTTAGGGCCAAGGAGAATTCATCTGTTGAAAAATTGAGTTGTAAACCTTTACCTAGACCTAGGACAAGTGTTCAGTTGGAGAGGTCACCTATTAAGAAGCGTGTGCTGCGTCATAGGGATGTCTTGCTTCCACACAATTTACAAGAGAGGCCTCCGACCTCAAATTCAACCCTAAGGGAGACGCAGAGTTTAACAGGCCACTGTCCAAAAGCGTCCTAAGGGAGACGCAGGACAACTGCCAAAACATCCAAAGGGAGACGTAGGCCACCTGCCAAAACGTCCTAAGGGAGACGTAGGCAACTGCCAAAACATTCTAAAGGAGACGTAGGTAATCACCAAAACTTTGAGATGTAGGCCATCTACCAAAACGTCCTAAGGTAGACAACTGCTAAAATTTCCTAACTGACACGTAAGCCATATGCCAAAACGTCCTAAGGGAGACGTAGGCCACTTGCCAAACCGTCCTAATAAGACATAGGAAATTGCCAAAGTGTCCTCAGGGAAACACATGCCACATCTGAAGCATCCTAAGGGAGAAGCAGAAGAGCACCCTTTAAGTAAGCGGTGGGTAAACATTCTAGTATCCTAAGGGAAATGCACAATTGTGGCATCAGCTAGTCAGTCAAGCAGTTCACAAAGTTCAACAAACATTTTGGTGTAAATGACTAAAATTTCCATAGCAAAGTGATCAACTGGCTAGAGTTCAACAAAACAAAGATGGTAAAGTAAGACCAATTATAGAAAACAGAAAAGAAGACAGAACAGACTAAAATTGTCAGCTGCGCGCCGCCTTAGCATTATGCTCCTCAACTGTAGTCTCATCAACCACAAGCTCTTTGGTTGCCTTAATATCCACAACATTGATCTGCACATCTTGGGTAGGGGGCATGTCAAGATAGAACATCTCAACATCTTCATCTTCAATGGAATGACAAGGAGCAGCCCCACTCTTGCAGTCCAAATAGCCCAGCTTGTACCCGTTAATGACATCCTCAGACTTAGATCATTCAACATTCTTCTGGTAGGCGTCAAACTTGGCCAAAAGTTCGTCATAACTTTGGAATATGTCAGCATTCTTGCGCTCAAGATGGAAGTAGGCCTCTTTGTGACCATGCAGGGCATCAGTAGAAGAGTTGAGTTCACTATATTTTTTAGCAAAGGAACTCTTCAACATAGACATGCTCTCCTTCATTTTAGACATCCTCGTTTCATGGCAGATCTGCTCGGCCGAGAGCGTTCTAGTCAGATCAACAATCTTCGTCAACTCATTAAGTTGAGTAGAAGAGAGGGCAATAACCGATAAGTTCTGGATGGCCTCAACAACAAAAATTACTCCTTTTGGTGCAAAGTGATAGCCGCTTCCTTTTACTTCTCCAATGAAAGACTTGAGAACTGCTAAAATCATAGCTTGATGTATATGATCAACCAGCTTGACGCAAGCAGACGTGCTTGATAGAAAGTTCCTGAAAGGACCCGCCTCGAATTCCCCCTTGAAATCCTTGAAGAACCTTATCCCTATCCGACACTAGGGATGTGTCGACCCAAATTTCAAAAATACCCTTCTTGCCCTAATTCCAGAACAACTTTAGGGTTTGACTACTACCGGAAAATCTACAGAGCCTCCCTTAAAGAAGGCTCTAAACCTAAAAATCTACCTACACAACATAAACAATTTATTTCCTAAGCGTTCAGCAAGCACAAGGTATAAACCACACGCTAATTGGCAAAAGTTTCAACGGGCTTTAGGCCCTTCTTACGAACAGAAAAAGTCAGAAAAACCTTCTTGACAAAGCTGAACATAAAAAAACAAAGTCTAAACTTGCGACTGCACCTAAGTGGGCCTAGGTTGCCTACGTACCCTTACTGAGGGATCAAGCCACACGTAGTTCTTTCTACCACAAATCACAATTAAGATAATACAAAAATGTTCCAGGTGAAACCAACAATAAAATTCTAGAATCATTCTTTACTTAAACTTCAACAAGCTATAAACTGAATGTCTTGTCCTAAAATTATGTACCAAACTATTCAATCAGTTTATCATTGTACATCCAAACACATGTGTAACGAAAATTTTTACCTGAAAGCCATACCTGCAACCGTCCACATAGGGCATATATCCTGCTATCAGCCACCAAGGGGTATATGGGAAATATCATTAAATCTGAAGGCAACAGGGGAAGGGGAAAACTAGCCAACCTCCTGTGCAGACAAGTTGGGGAGGTAGCTGGGGATCCTGGCCAACCCTGTACAGATAACATGAGCAAGTTGGCGAAGAATATCTTGTTAACTGTACAAAACATATTAGTACTGCACTGTTCTCCACAACGATGTACCCCAAATCATAATCCGTTAATTCCAAGTACTACACATGTGGAACGGTCCATTCCACCTGTGTGGCACATCCTAGTAGAACTCAGGGACAAAATGGTTAAGCTGATAACACAATCCTAGCAAAACTCAAGGAGATATACTCAACCTACATACAATTGATATCTAACACTCCATAATTGATCTAAACCACTTTCATAAATAACTAGAGCGTGGAAAAAGGATGAACAACTAGACTAGATTGATGATAACGGTCACCGGAGGCACCTGAATCAACATCGGAATGCTTGGAAGACCATTGGCCTTTTGGGGTTTGAAATGGTGTCGTCTTGAACTTGGGTAGTTGGGTCTTGGCCCAGATGTGATCGCCAGTTGTGGCGATCATTTTCCAACCGGTGTCACCCTCAACTGTCACCGTACGACGCTGGCAACGTTACCCAGCTGTGCGCCGAGAGAGAGGAGGAAGAGGTAGAAGGGAGAGAGAGAGAGAGAGAGAGAGGAAAAAGTGATGCGTGTGTGAGCCAACTTGTCATACTTTAAAAAGAAATCCAATTTTGAAATATTTATGGTTGTGCCACTGCACTTCTGTTGACCAAAACGTCTTTGTTTCAACTCCGATTTGAGCCCATCACGTGTCTACAAACTCGTGAGCTCGAGCACTATGGAAAGGAACCAGGAAAATTTCTAAAACTAGCCCTAGCATAAAGTCAACTCTAAACCAATAAGGAACCCTAAGGTTAAAGCGGGTCTTTCACTTTAGAATTTTGAAAGTTCAATTAAATTTCGGGACAAGATGGTACATTTCCTCTTGAGCAGATCATATCCTCTGTACAGTTGGACTTGTCAACCTTGGGACTAGCTGTTTGCATTTATGAAGAACCCTTCTCCCGAGTAGATGACTCTCTGACCTTCTTAGCTCACCCCCATCCTTACCTTCAAAGGAGTCAACAACGCCAAATCGGCTCCATGCCCGTGGCTTAACAGATGAATCGTGATGGTTAGGTGAACGAGCAATCCTCCCAGTTCGATCCTCATCCTTTCACAGGTGCATAAGACTCAAACTTCGAGGAGGAATCAATAGCTTTTTGGTTCTCGGCAGGTGAACAGATTCAGGGATAGACTTATTGTAGGGTAGATTGCAGTCTTTGAGTTGGTGAGTGGGAGACCAAAATGTCCTGAACATTCCGCATGCTGCGAATCTTCTTGTTATTCGAGCCGACAAGATGCTTGACCTTGGCAGACGATGAAAGAGTAGCTCCTACTTGAGTCTTCTTAGCATACGAGACCTTTTTCAAAGAAGACTTTATCGTAGTAGAAGGAAGTTTCGGCTTCTTCCTTAGTGGAGACACATCCTTTTGCCTGCAAAGTTGCAGCTCCATCCTTGGGGTTCGGTCGAGGACTTCTCCATTCAACGGGTAGATCATTTGAGTCTAGGCCATATTACTTCCATCACTTAGCATCCTTGGAACGGGCAGAGCACCAGCTTTCTTCTGATAATCACTTAACAGCCAGCACTATTCGCAAAACCTTGCAGGGATGTTCAAGGCCTAACGGACCTTGGCCATGTTTGGCTTGAGATCCAGTTTCTTACTGATATCATTCTTTGCAAGCAGAAGACATAAGTCAGTTAGTCACACATCAAAGAATTCATAAAAAAATTGAAGCAGGTAAATAGAAGTATGACGTACCATGGTAAAAAGTGAGAGGAACAAGTGGACCATTGCCATCCTCGCCTTCCCACCGTCCGTTGACCTTCAACACATCGGTGTGCCATACGAGATCTCTTTGGTTGAGACTGTCAAACAGTTTGGGATTGCATACACGAACCTAGGCATACTTCTCGTAGTGCTTCACTTCACTGAAATAAAAGAACTCCTGGACCGTCAGATCCAGCTTGAAGAAACAGCTCGGATTCCTAAAACACATGATCGCCTGGTAGGCATTCGGAGCACATTGGCTTGGGGCACACTCGATGGGGCAGAACAACTTCCTAAAGAACTTTGACAATGAAAACATGAAGCCCAAGGAGAAGTAGAAGGGACAAAATGTGATAATTTTGGCATCCGGATCGTTGGATCCACACATGGCTCATTGTCAGTCGAAGATGCTGCAAGCTTGACATGCACATCATCAGGTATGGCATAGGGATAGGTGGCACGCCACTTCTGGAAGTGAGCTTTAGATGTAATGCAATGCAGATTAGCCACGAATATATTCTTGTGCACCTTGGAACCTACTCCACAGGTACAAAGATACTTGTAAACTTGGTGATCGGCTACCATCATCAGAAAATATGATCAGTGAATAGCTGCAAAAAGGGATGAAAATTGCAAGTCAGATAGCATGTCAAAAACCTTAAGTTAAGGCACCAAAAAAAAACAACAAGAAGGCCACGAGGCCCGAGCCGCTGATGCAGCACCTCAGCCCTAGCCGATCCGCAACTTGCCTAGCAGGTCATGACATAACTTCAATAGAAAAAACAAAAAAGATGCGGCCATGGTCGGTTGCTACTGTGACAACAGCCATCGCCCGACGACTACCATCAAGCCGCTATCTAGTTGTCTAGTTGCCAAGCCGTTGTCTAGAAACCAGGCTCGCAACAAAGAAGTAGCAGCTACAGCTGCCACCACTAGCAATGACAGTAGCTGTAGCATCGCCTGATTGATATTGCCTCTCTTGCCATCGCATCACGATGATAACCATTGGAGCCCACCCAGCTGGTCATTGCTTTGAGTGAAGAAAGAAAAAAAAACGCAATTCGTGGCAGCAACTGCCTCGATAGCCACCATGACACCATCACTACCGACAGCAGCATCGGTGACGACGACAACCCGTTGGGCCCACCCAACTGGTCCTCGCCATGAGAAAAAAAATTTCAAACTACCTTGGTGTGCACGGCGACTCATCTCCTGGACAAGTAGTACACTCCTTCAAGATCTCTCTCATCAGCTAGAAAGTAGAGGATGACAAATTTGCATTTTGAAGAGGAGTGAAGAGAAGCTTTGTATTTATAAAGGTTGGACATCCTAGGTCAAGGAGGAATCACAGGCCTATTCCCATTGGGAGTCGAACTCCAAGAAGAAGTCAAAAGCCTACTTTAATTAGGGAAATTATCTTTGATTTAAGATAGGAATATCTCCTTAAATCAAGGAACAAATCTCCACCAAATCTCTTGAAGTAATTCCTATCATCTTTTTGGGAAGAGAAATCCTAACCAAATAAGGATTATTCTCCTATAACTCTAGCACACAAGTAGACTATAAATAAATAGCTATACAAGACATTTTGAGGTAATGCTTTCAAACCCAAAAAAAACCCTTATCTCTCTCTCTCTTGTCATCCTCCCTTTCCCTCACTATCTCTCTCTCTCACGGCTAAGTGCCACCACACACGGCTAAGTGCCACCACACATGGCTAAGGCACTTGGATCTCCCCTCCATCCATTTTAGCTATTGTCCTATCTTTGTCAAGATCCAATTGAACTAACTTAGGCATCAGATGGCTTTTGGCCAACACCCCCTGGGTGTGGTCTATTTACTCCTATTTATTTTGCAGGGATCGAGGAAAGAAGAGAAGGAAGATCAAAGGTCGAGGAATCAAATCGCGAATATTCCCCATGAAGAATTTTGCTCAAACAGAAGTCTTAATCTTTATTAGAGCATCAAGTTCTTCACAATTTATAATGCCAAGAAACTTTGAAACATGCAACTTATTAGGTCTACAAGTATCTATCTTATCACCTAGATGCAAACCCCTAAAGATGGCCTGTCAAAAGAGTTCAACACTTAGAATAAACTTAAGTAAAGATTATAAATTTATCAACACAACTCATTAGATCAAAAACTCAACCTTCAATAACACAAATAATTAAACTAAGGCATCCTCCTAGCCTTGGTCAAGAGGCCTAGCTAGACATAATCATCGGATTACAACAAATAAGCATAGAAAAATAATATTACACCCTTTGACTAAAGACGGAAATGAGACCGACCATTCCTCCGCAATTTCGCTCCAATTATTGGTGAATATTGTGTAGGCTTATCAATGTGTCTTATAGCACATAAAAGAGAAGTATTTATAGGCTCTGAAAAACTGCATGGTTTGCAAGTATAAATCCTTCTTCAAATATGATTTGTTTCTTTTTCCTTTTTCTTGGCAACTAAGTAATCCTAATTTGAGAAGGAGATTGACTTATTCAACTTTGTAATTCATATCAAGACACACCCAAGTAATTAATCCAATTTCCGCGCATAAATTCTAGCCCTAAACAGCAGTCACTCAAAACACGATATCTTCTTCTTTAGACTTTAGAACCATCAATCGTAAAATTCTATAGAGACTAGACATCCAGGGCTTCGCAACCATATAAGGCTCGTATGGACTATTCCTTAAAGTCTGCTAATCTGCACATGCAGTTTTTGAGAAAATGTGCATAATGCAGAAATGATTGCCTTAAAAATCTTCAAATTAATTCCTTGGTTTAAATTTATCTACATAATAAGAAAACAAGATAAATAACTAATAAATAAGAGAAACTAAGCATAAAAACTAAGAAAAAGAGTATTCAAATTATATAATTTATGAGCTTATCCGTACATTCACTTACCTCTGTGAGCTTGTTGAGAATTCTGAAAATCACCTTTGAGTAATTTTTCTTTCAATGGTTGTATAGTGATATCAAAGACAAACGACTAGTTCACAAGACAACTATCATGTCTCAGGTCTAAGGACTAGTTTGCACTGTTGCAACTTATGAATTCTAGTTTGATATGTGATTAAGACTTCTACGCTAGAACTCTAGTTTGATCACGTTCAGTGTACTTGTCCCTATAAGAACTTACATACTTATCTTAGCGTCTCTACATGCAATAACTTGAGACTTGTCATGCGTACCAGTCTTTGTGGATGATCAATGCCTAATTGATAACCTATGACCGGGAACGTTTTGGAAATGGTGTGCAAGTGTGAGAGGTCTCCTTATATCCAATCTCATTGCATAACTCTCATACTATTTCATATTCCAAGTACTTGTTGTTTTACTGTTATGATAATAGACCAAATATCATGGTTGACAACAACGATCTTGTCCATTAGTGATGGTGAAATATCGAGAAAGCAACATCACATGTTTGGCTTTAGGGCATATTTCTAACAGTGCCAGCACGGATGACCATTTGAATGGTTTGTGGATGAATAGATGGATGGGTGGATGTTGTGTGTTGTCTGACTTTTTTGCAAACAATTGTGGCCAAGAGGGGAACAATTCTCGGCCAGAGCCAGCCTTGGGTGTGGGCAAGAGGGGCCTTGGGCATGGGCCTCCAATTAAGTTGCCCAAATTTGTTATATATTGGGATTGGTTTTTTTTTGTTGCTAAAAACCTGCTTCACTTTAAAGTTAAACAGTTTAAGGTGTTTGGTAAAAATAAAGTACCTCGATTATTTTAAAAGCAGTGGCCTTTTGACAGCAGCATTTAAAAGCAGGCTCTGGTTTGCTTTTCAAAGCTACTTTCAAAATAAGTAGAGATGAACCCTTAATGTATTTTTTAATTCCCAAAATACCATAATTCATTTTAAAAAATGACACCACCTCCACTTCCTTAGCTAACTCCATCACTTGCACCACCACATTCACTATATCCACAACCGCCACCACCACCACCACATCCTCCTCCTCCTCATCTTTCACCACCACCACCACAACCACCACCTCCTCCACCACCACCACCATCTCCTCCAAAACCTCCACATCCACCACCACCTCCACAACCAACACCACCACCACTACCACCTCCACAGCTACCATCCCCACCACCATCACTACCACCACCACTAACTCCACCTTCATCACCACCACCACCTCCACTCCATCACCACTACTACTACCACATGGTTAGTACATAATAGTTTCAACATCATGTATATTTTAGTCATTATTCACAATTACAATAATTTTATATTAATATTTACCAAACGGTTTGATACTGCTTTTTGTACTAACAACACTTTAAAAATATTGTTTACCAAACATTGAGCTACTTTACTTTACAGCTAATTATTTTCAAAGCACCGTAGCAACTTTTTTTTTAAAAGTGACAGAAATCCCAAATTGGGCCTAAATTAGGTTTCTTCGTTTCTTCTTCCCAATAGGTTTTTTCGTTTCCCACACAGAAACAGAAATAACACGTGCTTGAGGAAGGCGATTCCTCTCCTAGTTAGTTTCTCAATGGAAGAACTCTATTTAATCCACCTATCTCTTAATAATCCACCACCATATTTTTCTCGGTTTTCCCCATCTCTCTTCTATCCATCCATTATTTTTAGTTTCTCTCATCCTTTTTTTCTCATATCATATTGTGACCCTAAGAATCAATCTCACACTAAAAAGCTAGCAAATTGTCTTTGAGATTGATGGTGACCAAGAAGGGAGGAACATGAGAAATTAAAAAGGTAATCAGATTTATAATTTTTATTTTATTTTATATATTTGTTCTTATCCATCAAACTATTTTTTTAATTTCCAGATTATACAGAGACAATGACTTTGCTGTTAAGAGATTAGTTCAGGTAGGATTATGCTCTATAATTGTTTGTCATAAAATCATTATTCACGCACTTTATGCGCTATGTAAAATCATTTTATTTATTGTTTTTCGCAATTGTATACTAAGGGAAAGTGCCTCATTTAGTTTATTGTCTAGGGCCACTCAAAAGTCAGGGCCGACCCTATTCTCAGCCGTTTGGTTCACGGCTTAAACTACAATGTTGTTGGAGTGGTGACAACAATTGGTATGGACGGGTCGCCAAAGTCAATAGCTCAGTGATGACGACACTGAGCTTGGTAGCTTAGTGGATTTAGATAGCTTGGGAAATGCGGGTATCCTAAGGTATCTGGGTGGATTGGATGGTGCTTAACAACACACTTATGAAATGCGAATATTAAAAGAACTTTCTTGTTGACATAAAAATGGATGGAATGAAGTGGAAACTACCCAAGAATCCCAAAATGGTTTCTGGGATTTTTTTCGATGGTTATGGATAGTTACTCCTACTCCTAAGAAAGAATTTAAAGATACATGATAAAAGATAAAGGGTTTGCTCGATGAAGATTTTTTATTTGGGACTGGACCCTTGAAACATTGCTGGGAGTCCTATATTTATAGGCTAAGGGCATGTTTACGTATCAGTAATGGAGAAAGTAAGGAATCAGAGAATTTAGGAATCGACGAAGTATTGAATCGGTATGGAAAGAATCATTCCCATTAAGCTGTTTACTAAACATATGAAATTAGCAAAGGAATGGGGTTGATTCCCATTGTTATTGTTTAGTAATTTTCATGAATCAGAATCCAAATTAATTTGATTACTAAAATGCCCTGCACATTTTCACCACAACACATATATAATTCTCAAATTGGCTAAGGAGACCAAACTAATCCTGCAGTAAACTAGTAAGATGGTGTAAACATGAGGAATCAATATGTTAAACAAGATGAACAACAAGAGCCCAATTCAATAATAATTTTAATAACACCTTTGTCCAGAGCCAATTTCAAACAAAAAAATAAACTCCAATAACACCTTGGAGCGTCTTTGAACTTCTTGGCGTGAGTTTTTATTTTTTTTAGGGTTTGGGGTGTTTTGGAATTATGGTAAAGTGGTAAGGGTATTTTTGGAAGTTAATAAGGGAAAATAGGAATGGGAATTGTATCGACTACCTCTCCCTAGTTGATCTGATACCTAGTTTTGAGGGGATGTGATTACGAATTTTGAGATAGGGCCCACTTATTTTTTCATTCCTAATTGCAAGTAAACTCAGGGGAAGTCAAGAATGAAAATCATTTCCTTTCCTTCCATACCCATTACTGATACGTAAACATGTCCTAAGTTCTTATTTGGCCAAACTAGATTTTCGATCGTGACTCTGACAAATGTCAAATCAATGTTGTGACTTTCTCTGCACGTTATTGTCGGTGATTGGCCAAAATGGACGGATGAAAAGATAAACCTAGGCCATGACCAAAGAACGCCACTCCACTGTTCGGTGAGATGATCTTCCTTCGGTCGCTTTTCCAATCGGTGAACAGTTTAGTGCGTGGGCCTCGGCCTCCCTCCACCTTTCCTTTTGAGAGCCCATTTTTCTCTTAGGCGGAATGGATGTAAAAACTGGGTCTAAACAGCTGCCTACCTCACTCTCACTGACAATTTTGGAAAATGCAGAAACTAGCTACATGAGGGGGTTCCAGAGAAGATGACTCTTATGCATGGATACATAGGTATTGTTGGTACTTTATGTTGGACTGTCAGAGTTTTATTGATGAACCCTATGGCCCATCGACGGCTATAATTTGGGGAAATTGTTGGCTAGACATGTAAGATATTCTTCAAGATGGTGTGTCTGTGTCGATAAGTACGTACACTCATTTTCAATGACAATGTCACATGCAATGCAAGAAGAGAACGCTGAGATTTTTTCAACCACAAAAGGGCTTAAAAGCCAGTATGTGACATATATGTATAAGCTAAAATCTAATAGCAATTTTTATCACAAATAAAAAATAAAAAATCTAATAGCAATTGGTAAATTAAACGGCTAGTCTTTCAGTTTAGGCCCATATGGTTCAAGATTCATTATAACCAATAACTAGGGTTGGTTTTTCTTTGAAATTGACAAGCTTGTTAGTAGTACTAAAAAGGACATAGACGTGTGGATTGATGGTCCTAGTAGACATGGACATACATGTTCCAATGGGTCCTAAAAATAGCAATAATTGCTGGTGATATTATATGTTGGAAATACGATTCTGGCCTTCTCTTTCAATTGGTCGTTTTCAAAGAGGTCCCCAATTGTCACACCCTAAAACAATCCAAACCTAGTCGTGACCTTGACCCATCCTTCAATAATTCCACCCAAATTGGATATATATCTTCTCTCAACTTTGGTTTATTTTGAGAAATTAGGACGCTAGCTCTATTCATGCTCTATATTTCTTTTTCCTTCAGAAATACATAATTATGTCTTTTAGGTAATAGGAATTACAAAACATTAATTAATGGATTTTAAGCTTAAGCCGTTAGGAAAAAAGGCAACAATTGTACCAACTAATATCTTCTCTAACGTGCCAACGTGGTTTAATCTAGTGATGAAGGTCTAGACATGCAGACGAGTGCGCAGGTTTGCTAGTTGTCACAGATAATACCAATGGGTACGTCAATACAACACAACATGTATTCAACAACGGTCGATGAGCACTATGAATGTCTTTTGAAAACGCACATACGAATGTCGCATACCTTGATATTGTTAAAAGTCTTATACATTTAATGACGTCTTTGACATTGTCGTACATGTGAGTGACCATTGTTTAAACTTATTTCACAACCTTTGGAAACTTATTTGACAACGCTCCAAGGATGTGGTAGAAACTACCACCCTCTTATTCTTTAACAACCTCTTATGAGCATTGTAGATTAGGTTTTAACAACTTGCTTTTAACTTTGTTTGTTATCCACAACGGAAATATAAGCATTGTCAAATCCTAATTTTGTTATGCAAAAAATATTAAAATCTGTAAATCCTATTCATTCAATTGGTATGATATAAACATAGCTGAAATAGTAAAATTAAGCAATTCTTGGATTAATGCTAAATATATTCAACATAATTATCTACCGAAAAAGAAAAATCTTCTTTTTAATTGTTGAATCAATATGAATCATCTACTCTTCTTGGAGATCTGATGAGATGAATCCTTATCTTATATTTTGTTGGAGATCTTGAGCTGAGTAACAAGGTTTGGAGGAACGATAATTGGTCTTGGTGCAGCAACCATTTTGTCCTGACTACTGTTCCATACCCGATTGCCTCTTCACTTTGCTGAAGGAGAGTCCAAAGACACATCTCAATGAAACTGAAAGACAATAAATTATGTACAACTTTTACTCAAACAATTGTAGGAAGGAAAAGAATTTACTTTCTTTAATTCCATATTATCAAAAGAAATAACCAATAGATGGATTATAGAATCTCCAACCAATTTCAAAGTTTTGTTACAGGCAGCAGTAAAAGCCATGAGCTACAAAGGAAAAACAACATTGCAATTGACAAATCAACGTAAAAGTACGTAAGTTGAGTTAAATGATTTGATATGCTGCATCATAATGAAAACTCACTGAAGGGTAAGAGCAGTCAAATGATTTGATATGTGCACGATGAAAGTCTGGTTCAATGTGCTTCCTTATTGAGGAATCCTCAACAGTGGGAAAATGTTGTCAATAAGGTAATCCAGAGAATAAGAACCTCGCAGATTGATACAGTTATGCCATCTCCAGTTATAGGGCTAAATGTAGTCCAAGGCTATAAATTTAGCCCTCCAAATAATTAATTTTTTAAAGAATAGTGTAGGGCTAAATTTTTCCATCTCTAGCCATGCATGGCTATATTTCAGGGTCCTTCATATTTTATTATTTTAAGAAAAATTATGGTACAATACTCATACATTCCACAACTATGTATTGTTTAATTTAATTAAACTACTATTTAGAGACAATGTTCCATATATGACATGTATACGTTGATAACATTTAAAAAACCTATTTAAAAAAAATAAAATCCTAACGATTAGCTGAAGTCACCAATGACGTCATCGCGCCTTTAATATTGGCTGTTGGATATGCATTTGCACGAGATGTTTTGTGTTCTTGCCCACACTTAATAATTTCTCTTCCTGAAAAGTACATGCATGGGGCCCACAAAAAAATTTGGCCTAAGCCAAAGCTGGGCTACAATTGGCCTGGTTGGAGGGCTAAAGGGCCAAATGTGGCCCTCCAAATTTGGCAAAAATTGTTTTTAGCCCATGATTGGAAATGGATTTTACATTATTTTAGGGCTATATTTGGCCTATGACCTATGACTGGAGGTGGCCTTAGCTTCCTGAAACATGTCTATATGGAATCTGATTTCTTTCATTTAGGCGATGCAAAGATATGAAGCTCCTATTATAAAAGCAAAAAGCACTAGTTAGTAGTAGGATTTTCATGTCAATTGGGCGGCACAAATCTTAAAAATTGCATCTGATAAGTCTTATAAATCGATATGATGAAGAACTGAGATTAGTATCATGAAATTAAAATGCACACTGTTGAACGAGAACTAAGATTTTCAACACAAATATGTTGATGTTATACATTATATTAATATCCATGAAAGCTGACCAATAATAAAAACGAAAATTATTCAAAACCCCAACAAGAATATGGCATGCCGCATGCATCAACGTTATAGTTTTTAGCAACTAGACACCTACATATAATAAAAAGGCTGTCTCTAAATCTATTAATGAAAAGAGCCTAAGAAATTCCCAGAGAGAACCTAAATATAGCAGCAACATTACACCAATTATACATTACAGAAAGCACAACTACGGAAAAAATTATATCAAGAGAATAGAGAAATATAAGATATATAGTTGGCCTTATAATCTAAATAGCAGCTAAAATAAACAAATGCGTTAACCCATTGACCACATTATCTTCCATCTAGTTTGTTAAGTTTCTAAGTCTCAACAAAATAGACTCGTGTATATTAGCAGCTATAATTCCACTATTTTGTTAAGTTTCCGATGTGGTACTCGTGTATTATTCAACAATCCTCCTCACGTGGGACCACTTTTTTAGTGGACCACATCTGCAACCAATTCCACATCGGCTTCTTCTTTTCTTTTTCTTTTTTTTTTTTTTTTTTTGTGGTTTGTTTAATTTTGGTTCAATTTGGGGTTTTTGTTTTGTTTGAGTTTGTTTGATTTGGGTTTAATTGAGCCTAGTCAACCGACCCGCTTTGATACCATGAAAAGATTTTAGAGGGACGGACTTGTGACCCACTACTAGCAACATTGATATTGTCCCCAACTTAACCACCACGTGTGGGGTTTTATACAAAAGGCCTCGATTTTATTAAGAGTAGAGCCATTCATTATATGAGACTTTCTATTTGTTAAGTTTCCAATTGGGACTCATAAATCCCAATTTTCTCCCTGAGATCCATAATCTACGAAACCATACCATTTTCTTAAGTAGGGACAGTTAGAAAACAATAGGAAACAAAATACCAAAAGCAAATCAGTACAACTAAGAAAAATGCAGAAGAAAAAAAGAAAAGAAACAATATCAAAACTAAGAAAAATTCAATACCTCTATTTCTCTCCCTTGATTCTTCTTTATATCCCACTAGTTAAAACCAAGAAATACAAATTAAGGGGTTCCTTGGCCCCAAAACAATGGGTAGATTTTTAGTCAACTGCTTGAGCCCAAAATAAAAATTAAGGGGTTCTTTGGCCCAATTGAGCATTGGGCTGTTCAAATTAACAAAATTAAATACCCGAAACTATGACACAAAGTCATTTTAGCCCATTTCATCTGACGACTTTCAAGAAAAGACCGTTGATTATTTTTTAAATAGATTTTTACCCGGTTAAAGGAGAGATACTCTTGCTCCAAGTCCAAGCTAAAATCCAGAGTTTGACTTCGACAACTGGAAAATGTCAAGTGGCAAAGGGAAAAGGAGTAGCAACCGCATTAAATGCAATTTGAACCGTCAGTCTTAACCAACTTGTCAAAGATAGCTATGCCCGAACAGTTCTCAGAAGGCCCAACTGTATAAATGAGAGAGATGGAGAATAATAAGTCTCCTCCTCCAAATCTAGAATAAGAAATGAAAAGAGAGAGAGAGAGAGAGAGAGAGAGAGAGAGAGAGAGAGAGAGAGAGAGAGAGAGAGATAGAGTATCCTCCAAAAGAAAGAGAGCAGCCGAGAGAAGAAAAAAAAATGCTCCTATGTTTTTCATATTCAATTGTTCTTCTTACAACACTTCCTCTCTACATTTATGGTGAGTGTTTCAGCGTAGGTTGAGATGCAAATTCCAACACCCCTACATTATCTAGATAGATTTTCTTTCTATTTTGTGCAGCATATAAGTTCTCATGATGCACTCTTAGACTATGTGATTCTAGCTAGCCATGGGATACTGTATTATGTCCAAATAGTATTTGCATCATCGAATGCTCATGGGCTTCTAGTCTCTTTGAAATTTACAAGGAGAGCACACATATGATGGTAGCTACTGTTGACTTTTGTATTATATTTTAGGTAATTTCTTGTACTATTAGGTTTCCTAGTATAGTCCTGTAAATACTCCGTGTGATAGTAGAATTAAGTTTGTAACCCTATGCGTATATATATTCCTCTTTGTGAGATGAATAAAAAACAACAATATTAAACCAAATAGTATTCTTCTTCTTGGCACTATAGTCAAGTTCAGAAAATAAGGGAAAACTCTAAAGCGAATTCTCCCCGACGCCACCGCACGAACCCAACATTGCAGCATCCACAGCATCGACCGGAAGAAGCCACCCCCGCTGCCGAATCACGCAGCACCGCCGTATTGCCCAATCAACTCGCCTCCTTGGCGCTGAGCCCAGCTGCTCCGTATCACCTCCCATTTTAATTCTTGTTGAAACTCTTAGTTTCTTGTGATGGCCAAGGACGACGAAAATCTGGTACCACTTGTAATCCTGGTGGTACATCATCATCATCATTTCAAATTGGCACTTATACGAGACCTCATCTTCGTGTCTTCCTCACTGGGTTGAGAACGCAAAATACATTTTCTACCTCTACCTTGCTGCTGAAATGAACAAAAATTACTTTTAAATTCCCGAATAAGTAAGGTAATGAGGTAAGTCAACTATATATAATAACAATGGCTGTAAGTAATGGGAATGAAGTTGGAGAAATTTTTGGTGTAACTAATACTCTCAAAATGAACAATATCTAACCCCAAAAACTATATACTAACTGGAAAGATGAAAGATGAAAGATGAAAGATGAAAGATGATATTTAATATCTTTTATAATTAGATTTATTAATACATCCAACTGCACATGTACACGAGACATTTCCAAATCATTAGCAACTTGCAAAGGCTTGCATGCTCAGCAATTAAGTCTGAATCCTTGTAACTTGTAAGTCCGTAGCAAAGTTTGATTTCTGTTTTCTAGATTCTTGTTTTTCTTTCCAAAGCCCAGTATTTTGGAGCTTTTGAAGCTAAGCTAAGCCAATTTATATATATATATATATATATTTATGAAACTTCCTGTTGATGTTCTTTTTGGAGAGGGTCAACTTAGAGAAGTGTAGGATCACTACTACAAAAAGTGAAAAAGACGACCAAAAAAAAAAATGACGGTCTAACAAAAAACCGTCGTTGGGTTTGAAAAGACGACGGTGTTATAAAATCGCCGTGTATGAGTAAATTAAACACCTAAAAAATAGAGATTCCAATGGGTGTTTTTAAAAAACGACACACCAAATTAAAAAAAGTGTCATCTTACTGAAAAGGTTTTCCTTAGAGGTAAACTCTGAGCCCAAAAACAACGGCAGAAGGTACGAATCCAACGACGTAGAAAGTAAAGACGACGATGTGCAGCAATAGCTGCCGTTTTTACTCCGTAAAAAATACGACCAATTTTTCGTATTCGGCGCTGTATAATTTCAAAAAAATTCACGTCGGTATATTATAAAATACCTCTGTATTAAATCAATGTACAACGACAGTAAAGATAAATTTATCGACTTATTATTTTGTATTGTACTACGATGGTGTCTATAACTCTAACCACGTCAGTTTGTTCAATTAACGCCGCATAATCAAATTTACCACGTCGTGAAGTTAAAATTACCGTTGTATTTATTCACTTTATACAGCTAACCTTATATCTAAACCGTCGTCTTAATATTAAATTTTTTTTTTACGATTTATTTCTTGGATTTTGGTAGCCTACGATGGTAGATCAACATAATGATAAGAATTGAGAATAACCATGACGGTTTATATAGAAAGCCGTCGACAGAATTAGATTATTCTGAGATCCCAAGAGATATGAAATCTTACCAGAGGGAACTCTATTCCTCATCATAATCGAACCACCAATGTGAGAGAAAAAGGCACACACATATCAACATCCAAAAATTTGCCTCTAAAATTTGACGACAGCAACACATCAAAATCCAACAAATTTACCTCTAAAATGTGAGAGAAAGACAATATTTTAGAAGTTGATGATGTGTGTATCTTTGAGATACACAAAGGCACACACACATCAACATCCAAAATATTTGCCTCTAAAAATTGATGACGGCAGACACAGATTTGCATTCAGAAAGACAATTTTTTAGAAGTTGATGATGTGTGTATGTTTGTGTCTTTCAGATACACAAACGCACACACACATCAACATCCAAACTATTGCCTCCAAAGAGGTGAGACAGAGCCAAGGGCAAGAAGAAGTTGGAACCCTAATTGAAAACTGAAACTGAAAGAACGCGTGAAAAAACCCAATTTATAAAAAAATCTTCACATCCACGTCGGTTATATTACACCTATCGCCGTTTAACAAAAGGAATCTACGTTGGTTCGTACCAACCCTCTAGTCGTATAAAATACTAACCACGTCGGTTTCTGTTAGTTTAACGACGTAGTAAAGACATATTGGGGCGGTTTTTTTAGAGAAACCACGACGCAAATAACTAAAATGCGTTGTCTTGTTCTCAAAGCAAAAAACCAACAACATAATCTATTAAGTAATTGACTTAGAAAGTAAAGACGTCAATACTGATAAACTTACCGACTTATTATTTATAATATACTACGACGACATCTATAATGCTGCTGACGCATAAGTTAAACTAACCACGTCGGAAAAGTGTGTGTTGTTTAATATTCTTTACCAAGGCGTAAACTACATATTTACCGCCATGTAAAACAATTTACCAGGGTGGTTGTCATTAATAGCGTCATGTTGTGAAACGGTTTGTTAATATTTTAAACTTTTCGCCTTTCCTGACCTACACTTATACTGTTTCCAAACACGAGAAAAAATTTCACGCTATCCTCATTTTTCCTTCACAAAGCGCCATGTCTGAATCTCATCGGCTTCCTCTCCTCTTCGTCTTCGTCCCTGAAAAATCATTTTTGTTCCTGCTTTGCAACTCCAAGCGAAAACTTTCATTGCAAGCAAATGGTAAGCATTTCTCATCTTTGTTCCTATTTTGCATATGCATATAATTTGTTTTTCATTTCTCATCTTTGTTCCTGTTCATGTTAAAATCATTTTACTTTTTGGATAAAATCTACTGACAAAGAACAAAGTGTCATTGAGCACGATGATAAAATCTACTCTGTTTTTTTTGTGTTTGAAGTAGTAAACCAAACGGTCTTGGAACAGTTTTTGAATTTCATATTAATAAGACGACGGTATTTTATTACTAATGTCGTTGTAATTGAAAACCACGACGTTTGTTGAAAAATATTTTTACTTTTTTCTTGTTGAAAATCAATTTAAGTTTTTCCAAATATAAAGACAAGAACCAAAAGGTCTGGAAACACTGCTCTGTATTTTGTATTTCATTTTAATAAGACGACGATATTTTATATTTTACGTCGTTGTAATGTAAAACCACGACGTTTTCTTACTACCGTTGTGAAAATTTAAAATTTACGTAGTTTTACTTTCAAACCACGTCGGTAGTTAACTATCGTCGTTGTATAAATCTTATTGCGTCGGTTGTTTTTATATTCTGTCGTATGAAATTTTATACTACGTCGTTTTTTTTATTGACTTTTATGTTATTTTTTCTCTACTTGCAGGTCTGATTTCTCTGTAACCATGGTTTCTCAAGCGCCAAGCAAGGATTCTAGCTTGAACAAAAATGAATGTAAGGAGCTTAAAGTTTCAAAACCCCGAACAAAGCCCTCGAAGAAGATGAAATTTGTTTCATCTGCTGAGACAGAACTAGGTAGCACGACAACATTTTCTGAGGAGCCAAAGTCTAGTCGTGGTATAAATGCAATGCCCCGTGTTGTGAAGAGAAAATTGTAGAAAATCAAGCCAGTTATTGAGTACAACAAAAGGGGGAAATCATATGGCCCTGCACATACTGAGATGCAGTCCTACATTGGTGTGTTGGCACGGTCCAGAGTCCCAATTGTGGACAAGAAATGGACTAAAATCCCCAAGGATATAAAAGACCAAATTTGGGAAGCCGTTGACATGGCCTATGTGGTAGGGCAAGGGGGTAAAAAAATGGTGTTATCATCTGCTGGCAAGAAATGGAAGGATTTTAAGTCTACATTAACAAGACATCATATCCTTCCATTCATCAATGAGAAGGAGAAGTTAAGACAACCCACTGAATTATATTAATTAATAGAGAAAGCAGACTGGGATGACTTTGTAGCTTGAAGGTTATCAGAACAATTTGAGTCTGTCCATGTTGAACAAGCACAGAGGAGAGAGAAATGCGAGTACAATCATCGATTGTCTCGAAAAGGATATGTTGGTTTGGAGGATGATTTGGAAGAAACCATGTCACCTTGTGGAAGAAAGCTAGAGAAGACAAACAAGATAACATCCCCGATCCAAAGGTTGCAGAGAAAGCAAAATTAATTGTAAGCATAAATTCACTTCACTCTGTTTTAAATTTGTATTGAACTGCATTGGAATTTTAATTAGACTTGCATATGGAACTAACTTTCTGTTTTTATTGACTTTAATGTGTCTTTGTGTTAATTAGGATGAATTGCAAAAACAAGTCAGTGAAGGCACTATTACTGTCTCTTGAAGTAATGATGTGTTGACTATGGCTTTGGGTCCCAAGCATCCAGGGAGAGTTAGAGGTGTTGGGGCTGAGATTTCCACTAGGCAATACTTCAATTTACCTAGACAACAGAGGGTAAAGTTTTCCGATCAATTAAAGGAAAGTGTAAGAGATGTCCTTAAAGAAGAGACCTTGAATATGGAGGCTAGAACCAAGCAATTGGTAAAGTTGAGAGGGAGAATTTGCTGAATCAGCTGCGCCAACTAATTCCAAATTTTGATCCAAGCGTGCTGAAACTGACAACTATCCAAGGTCTTGAGCAAAGTCCCAAAAATCCAATGTCGGATAAAGCAAGCTGCTCTGGGGCGTTGGATGTTAGAGCCCTCAATTTTGTGGATGATAATGCCAAAGATGGAGAAAAGCAACAAGAAATGGTAACTTCTATGAACTCTGCATATTGCTTTTGAAAACCAATTAGACATCGTTATCTTAATTACAGACGTTAGAAACAAACCACGACGTCTTTATTTACCATTGTCTCAATTTAAATTAGACGTCGTTTTCTTTTATTAACCGTCATATGTATTCCTTACCACGACAGTACGTTTGTGCAATTTTTCATTCTTGTCCAAGTTGTCTTATCTATCTTTCTTTATTTCTTAAAACAGAAATCCAAGGATGTAGAACAACAAGATGAATGGTAAATTCTCTGAAATTTGAAACTCTTTCTTATTTGGAATTACATCTGCGTCGTTGGGTTCAATATCGTCTTTAGATATGACATAAGACATCGTTTTTTGGTTAACGATGTATTAAATAACATACCACGTCTGTTTTTTTAATATGACGTCGTCGTCATTTAAATACCACGACGGTATGGGGGATTTAGAGTTTGCCAATATTTTTTTCTTCAATCTTTCTTCACTCACCCTGTCCCACTCTCTCTCTCTCTCTCTCTCTCTCTCTCTCTCTCTCTCTCTCTCTCTCTCCTCTCTCTCTCTCTCTCTTTATCTGCAATTTGATGTTATCTGCATTTCTGCTAATGCATGCTTTTAAGTTGATAATTGCAATTGTTAATTTTGGAGGGTTCTGTTTTATACTGACGTAATAAAACCATAAGACGACGGTTTTTACTTACCGTCATTTTAACTTCATATTACATATGTGTTTTAAATAACCCGTTGTTGGAATTCTAGTTCCACGACGGTATTGTGGATTCAGATAGTGTCGTAATTTTTTTTTAATCTTTCTTCACTCACTCTGTTCCACTCTCTCTTTCCCTCTCTCTCTTTATCTGCATTTCATGTTATTTGTATTTCTGCTAAAGCATGGTTTTAAGTTGATATTGGCAATTGTTAATTTTCTAGGGTTCTATTTTCTACCGACGTAATTGATACATACAACGACGGTTTTTACTTACTATCGTGGTTATTCAATTTACACGTCGTTTTTGTCTCTTCCCTGTTGTTTTTATCTCAATTACCACGACGTTTAAGCTTGTGTAGTTTACTCTGGTTTTTTCACTTCTGTATTATATATCTTTCCTTATTTCTTCAAGCAGAAAGACAAGTGCTTGGACGTTTTTGAGAAGGAACAACAAGTACCAGATTACTCAAACCTAGTCTTGCCATCTTCTTTACAAGCCTTTGTTGTTATATGGAGACGACATTAAAGGTTCATGAGAAGGCTATGATATTTAGAATTGAGAAGGAGGTGTTTGGTTTGGATCGTCAAACCTTTGTCTTGATTGAAGATATTACACAGTTTGCAGCCATGGATGAAATTGGGGCTACTATGGTTGCTGTATACATGAGGTTTGTCCTTATCAACTCATTGTCATTTCACACTCTGCTTTCTTTAAAAAAATTAAAAAACTCATGACATCATTTCATATATGTAGGTGCCTATTTGATGTTTTGAAAATAGCAAATATGGTGAACGTGGTTGGCTTTGTTGACCCCGCTCAAGTTAGTGCTAACTCTGGATCATTAACTCAAAGATCACGTTTATTAGCCAATCAACTTCAAAAGACAGATGGGGAACAAATTTTCTTTATGCCTTACAATCCAGGGTATGTTAGTCAACACGATTTTCTTTGTATGATGGAGTGTGTATAAAACTATTTAGCCTCTATGTTTATTTTGTGTAGCCGTCATTGGGTCTTGGTCATTGTGAGACCAAAGAGGGAGACTGTGTATTTTCTGGATCCACTACCCGGAAATCGAGTGGTTGATGACGAGTGCAAAAACATAGTGAACACGTAAGTTGATCTACTAAAGTGTAATATGTGTTTGTAGTCTAATTTTTTTTTCAATAACACTTTGTTGTCATGAAATAGTGCTATCAAGATGTATAATTCACACATAGGCAAACAAGGCCGTAAAGCACCTATTTGGAAAACTCTACAAGGCACACCAAAGCAGCCCATCAGTGTAGAGTGTGGCTATTATGTCATGCACTTTATGAGCTATAGGCAGATCCTTCTTTGGAGTTTGAGAAGAAGGTAAATGGAAAACTTTAGGATTTTAATTTCTGTGGTTTTTGTAAGTGGACGATGGAAAATAGAATTACCGTCGTTTGAATCGATATACCACGACGGTAATTCTATTTACTCTGTCATAGATTCTACAAAACCATTGATGAAGTCTAAATAATCATTTTTTATTGATTGCAGTTTGAAAATGGCAAAGATCAAGCACCATACCCCCAAGAAGCCATTGAAGAAGTGAGGAAAGAATGGGCAGATTATGTTTTCCTTCGTATGGTGTAGATGATTTTTACAAACAGTTATGAAAAATGTGCATACTTTTTTTTAGAATAGACAACTTTTTGTACAGGGTTTAGGGTATAATGTATATGTTTTTTTTGGCTGCCAATAAAAATTGGTTTTCAATTTTTAAAACTAAATTAATTCCTTAAACCGTCATCTGAAGGCCCTTCCAACAACATGATTGTTTCAACAACAATCGTCTTATAAAACTTGAAAATAAACAAACGACGGTAAATTCATAAAATGACATGTAAACTTCCGTAACACGACGATATATTTTAAAAGACAATAAATGATGTTTTTCCTCTTAATGCTAACACAAAAAACAAAGAGCCATGTAAGCAAATACCACGTCGATAACTTTATAACAGACGACGTCTTATGCAATTTCAACGACCTTCCTTTTTTAAAACCGTCCTCTAGTCAACTTTATGATATTTCAAATGAATTTTGAAATACTTACAACAACGTTATTTTATTTAAGCGACGTCTATATTCATGACGTCTTAAAAAATCTTTAGTGGCAGTTTTGACTTATTTTATGACTTTTGAACTTTACTACAACGTCGGTTTATTTATAAGAACAAGCTATGTGACGTCTATTCTCCTTACCACGTCGGTTAATACCATAGACGACATAGAAGTATCAAAACAACATCCGAAGGTGTGACGTCGTAAATGCATTACAACATCGGTATCTGAATAAATAACGAAGTTTAAACTACGTACAACGTCATATGTGGATTTAAAACCGACGTGGCTTGCTGTGTTTATAACAATTTTTTTATTGACCTTAACTCCTATGCAGTCATTCAGATATTTTCTTTGTCCTAAAGCTTTCAAAAATGTAATTTGAGTTATAAAAATGAAAAATGTCCACATAAACAAATAAATCACAACGTCCCTTATAGTTTCTTCAAACAATCATATGGCTTGTGTCATTCATTGGTGGGGATAATTTTTTTATTTTTTTTAAATACTAGTTTTAGCAATCTAATTTAGATGGGATTGTCGTAAGGAGTCTGTAGCAATTTTTGGTTTATTTTTCTCAAACATTTGTATTTTTGTACAATTTTTTTTAAAAAATATTTTATTATTTAGGGTTTAGGGTTTAGGGGTTTAGGTATTTAGGGTTTAGGAATTAGGGTTTAACCACCCTAAACCTTTTTTACAATTTTTTTTTCAAATTTATAATTTAATGTTTAGGGTTTAGGGTTTTTAGTATATGACGCCAGTGTTGTATTTTTTTTTCTGTCACTTGCGCACACGTGTTCAAATCCCAACAAAACTGAATCCCAGGAATATTATTTAGTTCTTTCGACGTTAGTTTTATGTTTTACTGCCGTCTTACTGCTTTACCACGTCGTATTTCTTATATTAACCGACATGTTTTTAACGACGGTTTTGTATTATTTCTGTCTATGTTTGAAGAAGCGCGCTTTCTAAAAATTTGGCCGTGACCTAAAATTTTTAGATTTCGCTCTAAGTCTACATTTCACTCTCTCACTTCTTCAACTCGAACATTTCGCTCTCTCACTTCAACTCTAGTTCTAAATTGCACTCTCCAGCCTCCGTCGAATCCAAGGAGGTCATAATCTGTGAGCTCTGCCTGCCTGTAAGTACAAACCCTAATATCATGCTTCTTAATTCATTGATTGATATTCAGTTCTGGGTTTTGAAGTACAAACATATAGGGTTTATGGAATGGCTTTATATATATGTTTAGGGTTTAGAAGATTATTCTGAAATCATAGACTGCATTGTTGGGTTTTAGATATATGTTTTGCGACCTTTTAATGTTTTTGTAGGTATGTTCTTCATCAATCTCTGTTGTTATGAATAAATCTCTGTTGTTATGAATAGGGAATGGCTTTAATAATATTTGAATGCTTTTCATAAAAATTCAATGTTATGGGTTGTTAACATATGTTGGGTTCTTGGAAATGGTCTGAATAAAAGAAGATTTAGCCTCCTTTTCTTTAAGAGTTTGACGACGGTTTTTCGTAAAAACCGTCGTCTTTATTTTCTTTACAAGGCGGTGTTTATTTAACTACCGTCATATGTAATTGTATTGCTGTTTTCAGAATCACTATTTACTACCTTAAAACGTCGGTTTTTGAAAAAACCGACGTTTGTATAAGTATAAAACGTCGGATGTTTTAAAAAAGTCGTCGTCTTTATGTTAAATGATGGTCATTGCTAGTCTTTTCACCGTAATTATAATATGCTATAATGATGGTTATTGCTAGTCTTTTCACCTTATTATAAATAATAGGGTATATTGTCGAAGATGGATAAGTCATGGATGCACGCGGATAGAAGATCGAAGGCATATGAGTTAGGGGTGGAAGCATTTTTGAAATTTTCAATAGAAAATCTTCTAACAACAACACATATTCACTGTTCATGTGTTAAATATGGGAATGTTCGATTATTTCGGGTTGAAATTATAAGGGACCACTTATACTTTAACGATAGTTTTGAATTATAAGGGACCACTTATAAATATGGGAATGTACAAAGTTATAAGAATTGGACATTTCACGGAGAACCTTGGCAAGCAACTACTAATGCTAGTAGAAATGTGGAAGAAGATGATGAACATAGTAGGTACAGTTTTGTGTTTGAAGAAATATAGATGGATGATAATGATTTAGGCGATTTTGGATCCGATCCTTATGAGTTTGCCAACGTGATTGGCGATGTAGATCAACCCTTGTACCTTGGTTCTAGTAAGTACACCAAGTTGTCGGCATTAGTGAAGTTATATAATTTGAAGGCAAAACATGGGATGAGTGATGTCTATTTTACAGAATTGTTGATACTTCAAGGAGATTTGCTTCCAAAAGGAAATACAATACCTTCCTCTATGTATGAGGCAAAAAAGACTTTGTGTGCATTGGGGGTGAGTTATGTGAAAATCCATGCATGCCCCAATGATTGCATCTTGTATAGGAAGGAGTATGAACATTCAACTCATTGTCCTACTTGTGGAATCTCAAGATGGAAGGAAGGCAAATATTCAATCTTGAAATAGGGTGTCCCAGCAAAGGTAGTGTGGTATTTTCCACCAATTCCAAGATTTAAAAGGATGTTTCAATCATGCAAGACAGCTAAGAGTTTGACTTGGCATGCTGATAGAAAAGCAATTGAAGGTTAGATGTCTCATCCGGCGGATTCTCCCTCTTGGAAACTCGTTGATGATAAATGGCCCAAGTTTGGTAATGAGCCAAGAAACTTGAGCCAGATACAGTTGCTGGCCAGTTATCTTAGTTACATATAATCTCCCACCGTGGCTATGCATGAAACGAAAGTTCATGATGTTGACTTATTGATTTCCGGTTCGAAACAACCCAGAAATGATATAGACGTATACTTAGAGCCTTTGATTGATGATTTAAAATCTTTGTGAGATGGGATTAAAGGAGTGTATGATACTCATATATGAGAATACTTTACACTCAGAGCTGCATTATTGTGGACAATTAATGATTTTCCCGCTTATGGAAACTTATCTGGTTGTATCGTAAAATGATATAAATCTTGCCCAATATGCGGTGATGATACACCTAGTCACATGTTGAAAAATGGCCGCAAAATATGTTACATCAGGCATAGAAAATGGTTACCAATATATCATCCATATCGGAGGCAACGTGCAGTTTTTAATGGGAAACCTGAATATGACATGCCTCCAAAGCCATTAACCAGAGAAGAAGTGTTACAAATGGTTGAAGGTATTAATTATAAATGGGGCTCGAAAAAAGGGGGAGGTGGAAGTGAAAATGATGGTGACAGAGTCTGTTAGAAGAAGTCAAAATTCATTGATCTCGAGTACTGGAAATACCTTCCTATGAGGCATTCCCTTGATGTTATGTACATCGAGAAAATTTTTGCGATAGTATTATTGGTACGTTGTTGGAGATCCCTGGAAAAAATAAATATGGGATTGCTGCTTGTTTGGATTTATTGAACATGGGGGTCAAGATTGATTTGCAACCCGAGTATGAAGAAAGACGTACTCGCTTGCCTCCAGGGCCTTGGAATTTGTCAAGAGCAGAGAAGAGAGTGGTTTGCAATTCTTTCTATGATATGAGGGTCCCTGAAGGTTATTCTTCAAATATTAAAAATCTTGTATCTTTACAAGATTCAAGACTTGGGCTTAAATAACATGATTGTCATACCTTGATGCAACAATTGCTCTCTGTGGCAATTCGTTCTGTTGGAGAAGCCTGCAAGGTATGCAATAACTTGATTGTGCTTCTTCTTCAATGCTATATATGCAAAGATGGTAGATGTTTCCAAGCTAGATAAGTTGGAAGAAGATGTAGTAGTAACTTTGTGTTTGCTTGAGAAGTACTTTCCCCCTTCGTTCTTCGATATCATGGTTCATCTAGTAGTACATCTTGTCAGAGAAGTTCGTCTATGTATCCGTTCGAAATATATATGAAAGTGCTAAAGGGGTATGTTTAGAACCGTAATCATCCTGAAGGTTGCATTGCTGAGCGGTATATAGTGGAAGAAGTTGTAGAGTTTTGCATCGAGCATTTATCTAATGTTAGTACAGTTGAAGTACCATCAAGCCAGAAAATGGGACTTTCAAAGCCCTTATCAGGTTGCATAGTGAGTTTAGTTTATCTGGACTTGTTGAATCAGGCACATCTATATGTCTTGGAGAATACGGAGGAAGTTCTACTTTATATCGAGTATGAGTTTTATTCTTAAGTAGTCATTTTAAATTATATTCCTTATGTTTATCTTATATGTTTGGGACTGTAATGCTTGAATTTTTCGTGTTATGTAGAGAACATATGATCCACATCAAGACCACTTAAAAGAGTGTCTGCAAGATAAGCACAATACCACTTTCATTCAGTGACTACTCTTTAAGGTATATGAAATTGAATAACATATTGCACTTTTAATTTTCTTCTTTTTATGTTAGATTGAATTAAGATATGATTCATTTGCAAATTCAAAGTCAACTTAATGGGGAAGACAATAATAGTGTATTAGAAAATTTGAGGTGGCTAGCAGCTGGTCCAAGCATGGCAGTGCCATCATATAGGAGCTATCTTATCAAAGGAATTAAATTTAATACAAAGGCACAAGATGATGTGTGTGCAGTTCAAAATAGTGGAGTTTATTTACTTGCACATACTATGCAAGTTGCTAGTGCCAAGGATAAGAACCCAATTGTCTCAAATATGGGTTTTTATGGTGTCATTCAAGATATTTGGGACCTTGATTACCAAAAGTTTACAATCATAGTCTTTTGGTGTGATTGAATAGTTACTTCTGGCCTTGTAGTCGACAAACTTGGATTTACCCTTGTAGATCAGAGTAAAATTGGACATAGGAATGACCAATTTTTTATGGTTTCTCAAGTCAAACAAGTATTTTTTGTTGACGACATAGTGCATCATGGTTGGTCAGTAGTGTTATCAATGCCTAATAGAGAATATAATGATGTTATTGGTGATGATGTCTTAGGTGATGTGAGAATTGAGTGTGAGCCATTTACTAGAGGGATGCCAAATGTTGACACATTTGATGAATTAGCCGGTAAGTCTGGGAGTCAAAATATTCGAGATGGGTGTGAAGATATATGAATTGAATGAAGCTTGTAATTTATGACGTTACTTATGCCCTAAATGGCTATGTATGACATTAATTTTGTAAGAAATTGTATTGCATTTTTTTCACTTTCATTATACAGGGTTTGGGCTCAAAGCTTTCAGTACAAAAAAACTTGGTTCAAGTACCAAAATACGACGGTCCTGTTAACATAATTGCAAAAACAAACGTCATAATAGTATCAGACGTCGTTTTTTTATCATGTGTCATTCAATGGAAGACCTTAAAACCTATAAAAAAAACAAAGATAAAAATGCTAAAGACGTCGGTTTAAAAAAATAGACATTAAAAAGGTCGTACGTCTCCAATGAGACGGCCTCGATGTACTTACCGCCGTCTAAAACATAACTCAAAAGACTGCACATAATAATGGAACAACGACGGTAATGATAAGCCGTTGTTATAGGATATCACGACAGGAAGGCCCAAAGAGACGACATTTAAAAGAGGATAAAACGACCTCGTAACATATATACTGTCTTCTTACTTCACAGACACGACGATACACTCTTATTAAGAAACGTCTTAACAATATACCACGTCAATTTATGTCTTTAGGACTTGGTGTGTAATTGAATTATGTCGTCTTTAGAAATAAAAATGACGTAGAACAAAGTAACCACATCGCCGTTTATATGCTTAGCGACATTTATATCACTACATACGACATCGTTTTTATAGTAACCGATGTTGTAATTTCTTTTTCACCGTCAACATTTAAAATAAAGGAGACGTGAAAACCTCGTTCTTCCCATATTTACTGCCGTCATTAATTGTTTTCACATCTCCCTGGTGACCATGTGTCATGCAATATTACACACAAACGTCGTCTGTAAAAACAAAGATGATGTAGTACAGCGTAACCACGTCGTCGTTGATAGGTTATGCGATGTTTGTATCACGACATACAACACAGTGTTTATAATAACCGACGTTGTAAATCTAATTTCACCTTCAAAGTTTAAAGTAAAACAGACGTACGAACCTGTTTATTCCCATATTTACTGATGTCATTAATGGTTTTCACGTCTACTTGGTGACCATAAATGTTGGATAAAAACGTCTCATGTGGAAACAGATGTGTCGTGGTATGTTTTCCTAATGTCGTCTCTGATATACGAATAGACATGTGTACGTCTTTTAATACGTCAACTTCTGAGTTAAGACAGACAGTGTACAATATTTGCAACGTCATATCTGGAAACAAAAGTGACGTAATATATTATCATGTGTCGTGAAATGTCTTAAACAACGACGTGCAGTTGATTGTTTATGACGGGGTGGCTTTTGTTTCCGACGATATTTTACTAAACAACGTCATGTTTTATTATTTAGACGACGGTTGTTTTCCAAATTGAGTCGTTTACACGTTCACCATTAGTTATTTTGGCGGTCATTTTCTTTACTTTTACGTCGGCTTTTATTAATTCTGACATTGTTTCCCGATGAACAACGTCTCCTTTTTACCATCATGGTTTTGTTTTTAAAAAGATGTCGGTCGATTTCACGATGGTTAGAAAACTTGCTACACGATGGTGAATTCCCATCGTCTATTACCCTTTTTGTAGTATGGATCTTCAGCAGGGAAGAAGGTGAGGACCTTCAGAGTTGGAAGAACCTGCAGAAGATGAGAAGGAAGGAGAAAGTCCTCAAGCTTCGGACACCGGTGTGGTGCCTGCCAAAAGCTCTCTGATACTTAAGTCAGCTATATGTGGTAATTTTGGCAGAATGTGAGAAAATAGTTACCCTTTTTACTTGGGCACTGTTCCCTATTTATAGGGAGGTGAAATTGGGAGTCTTGCACAAAGTTTCGATGTGGGACTTGTGCAAATTGTTGTGGTGGTGACACGTGTCCTTGGAGATTAGGTTCGGCAGTCCGGAGCTTCGGCAGGTGGTTGTCGCTTCTGAAGAGTATCTTCCTTAGGCATGTCGGAAGGTGATGACGTCAGTCACTTTCTAGGGATTTGTCTATGTGTCCCTTTGGGGTATTTCAGCAAAGGGAGAAGGCACGTCTGCCTTGTCGTTTTGATGTTGGATATGCTCGGTTGATTATGGTGTAAACACTTCCAGAAAAATAGAAAAAACATAAAGTTAATAAATTAGTATGGGAAGCCTTAACCCTTGGGAGCACTTGAAATTGATACCATCTTCTGAGGTTTTGTTTTCTTCAAAGGTGACAAAAAAAAGTTGTTCCAAACGCATTGTCTAACTGACCACATGCTTATTCACATAAAATAAACATAAAATAAAATAAAGAAATAAATATAGTCATTACCAAATATAATAAACCACATGCTTCTTCACATCAAATATAGCAATGGAATAAAGACATCTGACAAAGTATTTAAAAACTGACGCCAAATGGATTTTTATATGTTTACACAATGTATTAATACTTTTGGAAAACAGAATTCAAAAAATGTTATCCAAAACTGACCCATACATATGATTTTACGTTTTTAACTTAAATAAGGAAGACTTTGTGCTAAAGATTCACACTTAATCTAGCCTAAGCCCATCTTCAATGTTCTTTTATCTAGCACAAGAGCCAAACATTACAAAAATTATATTCCTTGCACTTTTTAAAGGATGAAGCCAACCATATTAGACACGAATCTTTGCATTTCTCAATGCTCAGATTTTGGTCCTCGCTTCCTCACACTTTTCACATAGTAGGGATGTCAATCCACCAATCATTTTGAGCATGTTTGAAGCAGTTTCACAGGCTTGTTGTATCCGTACAAATTCGGTTTTGTACTTTAGTCCCCATCCAGGCAAGGTGTTGTGAAATTATTGTAAGCGCACAATCCGCACAAGTAATATAGAAATAAGTAGAGTATCGTTCTCACGAAGACTGTAATTTCTTATTAACTACCAATTATGATTAATTCAAAAGTTTATTTGAACAGTTGATCAAGAAGATTGATAGATTTAAGTAAACTAAAATAATTATGAAAAATAGCAATTTAATTAATGATGGAAAATCAAGTTGATGAGACACTAGAGCATCCGATTTCACCATAACCAATTCCACTTAATTATAGCCAATTAACCCTAATTACTGTCCATGTTCACATCAGGCTCAACCAAAAGTATTCTCAATTAACAACCTATTCTCTCTCGAGCAACGGATTTAGAAAACCAAGAACCCATTAAGTTCTATGGAAAAACTCTCCTAAAGAAAAACAAAATCCCAAACAATTAAGGAAAAAAACTAGGAAAGAATCCTTCTTTGACTTGGAAACATGTCAACCAACTTGCACGCACATTTTGGAGTTGTTTCACTTCCTAGAAAATTCTATAAAAATATGAGAAACGTAGCTTGATCTCTAAGATTTCCAAACATATATCATACACCCCTTGGAAAAATTGGAAAGGTGTTCAAATCTTTAATCTTCCATAACAATGCATTTCTGATAGGATTTCAACTTAGGATGTCTTGACTTGCATGTCTGGAGCATTTGGCTTAGTAGAAAATTATGAAAATTTGATACAATGATCTTCAATGTCTTAGCTTTGTTCTCCAATTTTCCTTGCACTAAAATTCATTTGAAAATTCAATTTTCAGTCGAAATCCTTCCAATAGCGCAGAATAGCTGAAAATAAGGAAAGTAGGTAATAATGCTCTTTTTAATTAACTTTCCCACAAAAACCAAATATAAAAGGTATAAAAATATAAGAAATAATGCACTTAGCAAACTACCTCAAACCTATCTTTTGCTAGTCCTCGAGCAAAATAAGAAATTAAAACAAAAACAGAACAAAAACTAACTAAACCACTTTCACTGGTAAACTCGATGGCACTTAGCATGTGCCACAAGCCGTTAAACCTCTAGGTTTTCCCTAGTAGGAGGTGTTGTGTCTCCTGAGGGTATACCAGTCATGATACGCACCAAAATTTTACTACAAAATAAGGTTGTTAAAGACACCACTTTAAACAAGCTAATAAAAACCAATGCATGTCAATCACATTTGCATCACTAAAGCTATGTCACTTTGAGTACATTGGATCATGCTGTAATGTGTAATACCAAAAGTCATAACCCGAATTCCATAGAATTATTTCACCTTAACTTTGTCCTCATCGGATATCACTCTATTTTTTTCTCTTGGAATCCTAAGCTTACACTCAAATGTCACATATGTGTATGAAGTTATGTAATGGAAATCAAAATTTTAACACATATATGCTTAGCTTGAAGAATGAAAATTTCTGAAAATAATGTATCATGAAAAGAATCAAATACTAAAAACTAGAGTACATACCTCACCTCCAAGCAAGATTTCCCAAAAGATCAGTTAGGTCTTTTACTTCGGTTGTAATGAAAAGCTAGGTTTGGGGTAAGAAAGAAAGGAAAGGAATAACCAAAACTTAGGACATACCAAAGCATTATTCACGATCACATACACGGCCAGCTCTTTTTGAATTTTTTGTAATACTCAGGGTCCAAGAATTGTGCACATTTCCTACTCCATTTGGAGTGATTTTGAACTTTTGTTTGAATTGCAAAATATAATTTTTTATTTTATTTTATTTTCTTCAGTATTCTCAAGTTTTTTTTTCTCCTTGCAATTTTGCACAAACACCTCGGTACATGCCAATTGTTTGGTGTAGAGCTCAACCTTCTTATTTTCATCAGTTTGGCATATCCTAAACTATAAGGTATGGCTTAGAAACGGGTTGTATAGGTTATAGATAATAAGGGTGGTGAAAAAAAGGCTAAGTGTTTGGTTACAAAGGGATTAATGACGCACACAAAAGGGTAGAATGAAAGGTCTTTTAGAGGGTGAAAACATGCATAGCCTAACATCATTGCATCATCTCTCATGGTCCATCCAACTTGGAAGCGATGTATCTACAAAAATAAGAAAATTCTTTAATATCCAATACAAACCTAATGAGAGCAGTCTAATGAAGAAGAAAATTGAAGAGCGTTTAAGAGTAGAAACAGTAAAACCCCTCTCAAAGAATGGCTTTTGGCTTAATTATCTCACAAAGGTAGTCTCCACTAATATTCTATAGTCATTTGAACATAGCAACCTTGTCCACCAAAACATTACGAGTATGGTATTGTGAAGTGCAAAGATTATAATGCAATAACCCTTCATGGAAACATGTTAGTAAAACATTCATGATCGAAACATGACATATACATCTCTATTAGCAAGAAAAAGTAATAGCTTTAACTAGAATTCACATTTCGGAAAAAACTGCTTCTTTTCAATTTTGACCTCAGATCAGTTTTCAACAATTATCTCTTAAAGTACAGCATGGATTTTTACAAGCCTTATATGCACAGAAAATAGACAAACAAACGCACAACTTTTATTTACACAAAATAACGAAAAAAAGATTAGAACTTCTTGAAACCTGACGTCAAAAACAGAAAACAGTACAAAATCGCAGACAATTCCAATTCCACACCCCTGTTCAGAAAAAGAGCTGTAACTTCCAAACAAAAAGTCAGAAAATTAAGATCCTTATATGGTTGGATTCAGCACAAAATACTGAAGAAGGCAATAGGGGCCAAATCTTCAAATCCATTACAGATAAAAAAAGTATTAGTGAAACATAAACACCAATGTTTTGCATGACTCAAAAAAAAACTTAAAACAAAAAAATTTAAAATAAAAAGAATGTTACCCACCTCAAACCTAAACCAAAAAAGGTCCTCAATTTTTAAAATAAAATAAAAGTAAAGACAAAGAGTAGTAAAAGCAATGAACACGGGAAACACACAAATGAAAATTAAAAAGATAAGGAACGAAGGTACCTAGTTGGGTTGCCTCCCAACAAGCGCTTAGTTTAGAGTCAATACCCTGACTTTCAAATGCATTATTTGGGATTATTGAGGGGGACGTTGGTCTCATCCTTAAGAAATGCGGCTTCCACATGTGGTTTCAATCGATGGCCTTTGACTTTGAAGGTTGTACCGTCAAGATCATTGTTGATATGCTTGTCATGCGACTTCTTTGTATGGTCCTTGTAAATTCTCGCACTCTCATTTGATTTATTCTGAAGTTCCTCTAACTCATTATATCCTTGGTCTAGTTCATCCAAGTACAAGGAAGGTTCGGCAACCCTTGGTTTGTCAGCTTTGGAGATGGAGACATGTACCAATGGATGGCTCGGAGTCTCCTTTTCAAATGTGTTGGAAGCAATTTCATCAACTAATTCCATGTGAAAACAATCCTCCGCATCTCTTGGAAATTTTATTGCTTCAAAAACTTTGAATGTCGCTTTTTCATTCCCAACTCTTACAGTTAGTAACCCTTCTTCTATGTCAATCAGAGTGCGTGAAGTAATCAGGAACGGGAGGCCTAAATTAGTTGTGTGTCAGAATCTTCTTTCATATCCAAAACCAAAAAATCTGCCTGAAATATGAGTGTATCAACCTTTACTAAAACATCTTCAATAATTCTGTGTGGGGTATGTGATTGAGTTGTCCGCCATCTTCAAAGAAACAATAGTGGGTTTAATTTCACCAATACCCATCCTTTTAGAAACAGATAAAGGTAGTAAGTTAATGCTAGAACCCAAATCACATAAAGGTCTTTCAAAGAAATTATTTCCAATAGTGCATGGAATTTTAAAACTCCCTGACAGGACCCACTCTGAATTCCTCGGAATCCGCAACGAATCCTATAATATTTCCGACATCAATCTCATGCCGAGCCCACTTACTAACCAAAACCTCTTCTTCAAATCAAAGGAAAAGTAGTTCGAGACATTCTGCCGAAATTTCAGCAGAGTTTCCCCTGAAAAACGAACATTTCCCAAAATTTTCAACCTGTTAAAACACAATTTAAGATTTCTAAACTTCAGCATGCACAATGTAAAAGCACACAGTTCACAGAATAGGCCTCCAACCTTAAATCCAACCCTACATGGCGATAACAGAGCAATTCGAAGGAAAACTCTAGTTTACAACCAAAATGAAGTTCAATGGAAATTAAACAAATAAAAATGCCCTACAGAAGTTCTGGGCGCACCACAAAAAATCGTGAGGGAATTAAAACAAAGTTTCCGTATACTTGCCCCATTGTTTGGAAAAAGATATCAAAGTGTTCACCCGTTTTGATTTTAATATTGCGATGGCAGGGTAAAGTTCCCCGTTGGCTTGACAACCATTGGTGGTCAGCAAGTCCACTTTCTTTTGCCTATGAGTGTGCCACTGCTAGCAATGAAAACCTGAGCAGACTTCTTAAAAATAGATAACTTGCGTCCCAAGTTATTGATTTCTAAACAAGTGATTACGAATTTGGGTGAGGAATATCTCCCAAGTAAGTTCTTTTCTTTGCCTAAGACTGGTGAGGACTTCATAATTTTTCACAGTACAAAATGGGTAGTTCTGGTCAGAATAAACAAAAAGAAGACAAACAGTTTTTAGGCAGAACTGCCTGTTACAGGACTCAAAAATGAAATAGCGACTCGGAAACAAGACGACAGGATATTGGACTTTGATTTTCGTCTAGATAACTGCCTCTGAACGGGGCTGGATTGAATGTGTCTATGTTGGATTGGATCGTCAACACCTTCAACTGATGAGTTTCAGTTGGAAATCGTTACCAACGTTTGAGTTTAGCAGAGCTTCAATTTATTTCAGGCCATGGAAGGCTTGCAGAACGGCCATAATTGAGGCCTCTTCAGTTTGGAGATGGCAAAAGTGGCTGGATTGATGATCACTGAGCTGGAGCTGTGATTTGGTGCCTGTTCTGCTTGACCAAGGCTTTCTATAAATTTATGAGGTTTTCATATTTGTGAAAAACCCTGATTTTGCTTGACTTGGTTTTGTGCTGAACCAAATTTGTAACGAGAGAAATCTCGGTATGTAAAACTGTTTCTCTAGGCTTGAACTGAAAACAAAGACTTGAGTTCTAGCTAACTTGTTTCTTGTGGCTCAATGAGCTTTGGTTGCTTCAGTGCTTGAAGGCTTTTTTGAGATCAATGGATCTTTTTGAGTTTGTCAATTGTGACTTTGAGAGCTTTTGTCTTGATTGGTTTTTTGGTTGTCCTTTGATCTGTTTACCTCCTCTCATATTTATAGAAAATGCTGGAGTGGGGTTTCTAATCTTTTAATAATGGGCGGCAGATTTTCCAAAAGATCTTTTATTTTAAATGCCAAGAAAAGGGGAAGTTCATCTGTTCTGGAAGAAAAGCTATCAACAGTCAGTTCTTATGGTGATCACTTTCTTGTCTTTCCTGAAAGAAAACCTAATCCCTTTTTTACTCTTTAACTGCCCTTTGTAAGAATGCAATCTACCATGATGGTTAGTTTGCTTTTCCAGATGAATTAACTCCATGCTCCCTACTTATCTCTTTAGAAAATATAGTCTACTTATTCCTTGGAAATGACATTTGCTCTGGTGCAGAATTTCTCTGTATATAGAGAGGGATTTTGATCTTTTGGCAGCAAAGATTCAGAGAAGTCTTCCCTTTATACTTGTCTTCATCAATTCTTTGTCAACTCCTCTGTAATAGTTGAAATTTTTGACTTTTCAAAGTCAGGTAGTCACGTGGGGCTTTTCTGAAAAAAATCATTTTTCATAAAAAAAGATATGCTGACTTGCTTTTGAGATCAAGTGGGGAGAATTCTTTAGAAGTTGAGCCTAATCTAATTTCTTAGAAGTTTATCAACTTGCTTGGTGACGAATTACCATTTAATTGGTAATTTGATTGATTGATTTATTTGTGTTTTTTAAACCTTTGCCACTTTTGCAAAAGACATGGGCTTCTAATGTTGATTGGGCTGTTTTCTGGAGTCAAGGCCCATTCTTTTTCTTTTTTTTTGTTTTGTCGGCTTTTTTGTAAAAATGGGCTGGCACGTGGATTTCTTAGGCCCAAACACAAAGTATGCAATCAAACCATTCATTTATGATCACAAGCAGTTCTAAAGACTCAAACCAGGATTAATCATCCATCCAAACGGGTTTCAGACTCGTCATGACCCCAAACACATTTTAACCACAACTATTTAGTAAAACTGAAATATAACCAAGCATTTGATCTCACCTTGACTGGGCTTCCGACTCCCATACATTTTCAAAGCAAACTCAACAAAAGTAACCGTTTAAGTCGCGGCTGCACCTACGTGAAACCGCAGGTTACCTAAGTACCCCTGGTGAGGGATCAAGCCACACGTAGGTCTTCTATCGACAATCACAATTTCAGATGATATACGATTATTTAAAGTAAAACCAATGATTAAATTTAGATTCATCTACAACTTCAAATCCGACAAGGCACACACGAATACATTATAAGTTTCTCCCCTTATGTTAGTTCATCCCCGCAACCATACCCTATCCAAGGCGGATGTTGCCGAACAACACTTTCCAAACTATGTATCAGACGTTCATACATGTGCATATACACTTTCCGAACAACACTTTTTTGCTTCATACATAGAGTCCGGTATTGTATTTCCTTCTGGAAGCAAATCGCCTTGAAGTATCAATAATTCTGTAAAACAGACATCACTCATCCCATGTTTTGCCTTCAAATTATACAACTTCACTAATGCTGATAACTTCGTGTACTTTCTACAACCAGGGTACAATGGTTGATCTCCATCCCCAATCACATTGGCAAACTCATAAGGATCGGATCCAAAATCACCAAAATCATTATCATCCATCTCTATTTCTTCAGACACAAAACTGTACCTACTATGGTCATCATCTTCTTCAACATTTCTACTAGCATTAGTAGTTGCTTCCCAAGGTTCTCCGTGAAATGTCCAATTCTTATAGCTTTGGTCAACTCCATTAAAGTATAAGTGATCCCTTATAATTCCAACCCCAAACAATTTCAAATTAACACATTTAACACATGGACAATGGATATGTGTTGTAGTTAGAAGATTTTCTACAGAAAAGTTCAAAAATGCTTCCACCCCTAACTCATATGCCTTCGATCTTCTATCCGAGTGCATCCATGACTTATCCATCTCCGACACTATACCCTATTATCTATAATAAAGTGAAAAGACAAGCAATGACCATCACTATAGCAGATTATATAAAGTTTTAATAACAAGTAATATACTACACAGACGACGGTTTTTAAACAAAACAGACGTATTTGACATATATAGACGACGGTTTGTTGACAAACGTCGTCTAATTATAACCACGACGGTAGATAAAGAACACCATTGTGTATAAGTAATACAGACGACGGTTTATTAAAAAACCGTCGTCGTATGCCTAAAAAGGCATCGATATCCCAGTTTATTTTCAAGAATCCAAAACCCTATTAAGAACACAACATATATATTAATTTTTATGTTGGGTATTAAGCATGAAACAACATATACTAAGCATGAAAACAATAAATCCATTCCTGATTCAACATAACAGAGAGTGATTAAAAGATCCGACAAAATTAAATCCATTCCCTATTCAACAAAACAGAGAGTGATCATGAAAATATTAAACAGAAAATCCATGAACCCATACCTCCAACAACATTACTAAAAGATCGCACAACATATATCTAAAACCCTTTAACAAAACAACCTAATATCATTCAATGAATTTACAAGGGGAAAATAAGGGTTTGTACTTACAGGTTGGCAGAGCTTACAGATTATGGCCTACTTGGATTCGACGGAGCCTGGAGAATCCAACTTTGAATTAGATATTAAGGGAGAGAGCGAAATATTATGTTGCCTGAAATCTGAAAATTTTAGGGTTCAGGGTTACAAATATAAGCCTTAGAGCGAAATCTGAAAATTTTAGGTCGCGCGAATTTTTTTTGGAAAGCGCGCTCTTTAAAACATCGACGAAAGAAACAATCAAAGTCATCAAAACTAAGAGAAACCATGGCGAAAGTTTTACCAAGACCGACGTAAATTCATTATTCCACGATTCAAACACTGAACTCAACGCCGTTTATTTTAAAGAAACCACGTCGTCTATTGAACTAATAGCGTCGTTTGAATAACCTTTTATGTTTTTTTTTAAATCGATGATGTTATTCATGTACAACGTCATTTTAAAGGAACATAAACACCGTCGTCAAAAAAGTAAACATCGATTGAAAACATAAATATCGTCGTTAAAAAATAATACCCTAAACCCTAAACCCTAAATTATATATTACTAAAATATAATTTTATAAAAGGGTTTATGGTTTTACAGCCTAATATATAACGTCTTTTAAACCGTAAACCCCAAAAATTATCCTTTAATCCTAACCCTAATAAATAACAACCCTAAACCATCAAACTACAAGTGATGTTATGACTCATCAAAACAATTTATTTTTGGGTGGTCATTTTAAATTTGTATTACTCAAACTGAATTTTTTTAAGGTTTAGGGGGAAGAAAATATATCAATGACTTCATAGGAGTTGACGTTTCATTTTTTGGATTTATTTTATATTTATTTTGAATATTTTGAATTAAAAATAATAAAATATTCTTATATCAACTACAAACCACGTCGGGGTTAATAAATTAAAGACGTTGTAAATCATAATAAACGACTCACTTGTAAAAAGGACGTCGTTTAAAAGAGAAACCATGGCGGATGTTTCACCATCCGACGTAAACTCAATATTTCACGACTCAATCACCGTCGTTAAAAGTAATACCCTAAACCCTAAATTATATATTTTTAAAATATAATTTTATAAAAGGGTTTATGGTTTTACAGTCTAATATATAACAAACATAAACCGTAAACCCCAAAAATTATCCTTTAATCCTAAACCCTAATAAATAACAACCCTAAACCCTAAACCCTAAACCATCAAACTACAAGTGATGTTATGACTCATCAAAACAATTTATTTTTGGGTGGTCATTTTAAATTTGTGTTACTCAAACTGCATTTTTTTAAGGTTTAGGGGGAAGAAAATATATCAATGACTTCATAGGAGTTGACGTTGCATTTTTTTGATCTATTTTATATTTATTATGAATATTTTGAATGAAATAGAATAAAATATTCCTACAAACACAACAAACCACGTCCACTTTAAGAAAGTAACGACGTTGCAAATATAATAAACGACTTACTTGTTGAAAGGATGTCGTTTAAAAGCGAAACCATGACGAAATTTTCACTAAAACGACGTCCTATCGACGTACAAACGTTATATCACGACTTAAACAAAAAAGGTGTCGCCGTGTAATTTAATTACCACGTCATACCTGTCGTCTAAATATCCTTTTACGTTGATTTTGTTTCAAACTATTACACGTCGGTTACGCAATTTGTGTTTTATTTTTTAAATTAAGAAAACCTCAACAAATTTTTTAAGGAAAAAACGGATGTATATTATAGACAAAATTTGTACATTATATATTATAGACAAAATTTGTACATTATATAAAAATATCAAGTGTTCTAAAAATCCTCTAGTCAACATGAAGGCAAACAAACTCTGCCCATTCATTCCTGACTTCAATGGCTGCTTGGGGGTATGGCGCTTGCTCTTTTCCCTTGGCAAACTGCAATCCATAAACAATGATTATTAAGCTTTATAAATAAAAAGAAATTCAATACAGACAACGCTATTTTCATAACCGACGTAGTATATCGATTCAACGACGGTAATTTTAAAGGACCGTCATTGATAATACAAAAAACCACATAAAATGTATCTGAAAATTTTCTTCTTACCATCTTCTCAAACTCCAGGGAAGGATCCATGATGATGTCTCTCATGAAGTGCATGACATAATACCCGCATTCGACATTGCTGGGTTGCTTTGGTGTGCCTGGCAGAGTTTTCCAAATGGGTGCTTTACGGCCGTGTCTGCCTATGTGGGAATTATAAATTTTTATAGCACTGTTCACCATGTTTTTGGCCTCCTCATTAACCACACGATTTCGGGCAGAGGATCCAGAAAATAGACGGTTTCCTTCTTTGCTCTCACAATCAGCAAGACCCAATGACGGCTGCACAAAATTAATATAAAACAAAGATATATAAAAAAGTTAGCACAAGAAAACAAATGACGGTTATTTATAAAAACGACGTATTATATAGTTTCACACGACGAAATAACGTAGCAATCGACGTCATTATAAATTTATCACGACGGTAATTAAAGAACGACGTGGTTAGTCGTTTCAAACGACTCAATAAATAAAGAACCGACGTGGTTAGATGTTTCAAACGGCACAAAATTAGTTAAATAGTTTTATACGCAGTGCATCATACAAACAAAATCATGTTAAGGAGACTAACCTTGGATTGTAAGGCATCATGAAAATCTGTTCACCATCTGTCTTCTGAAGTCGACTGGCTATAATTTGTGATCTGTCAGTTAGTGACCCAGCGTTGGCACTAACTTGAGCAGGGTCAATAAAGCCAACCATGTTGAGCATATTTGCTACTTTCAATGATCATATAAACACCTAAATATATATAACAAAGATATATAAAAAAGTCAGCACAAAAAACACACGACGGTTATTTATAAAAAACGACGTATTATACAATTTCACACAACGAAATGAAATAGAAATCGACGTTATACTTAATTTATAATGATGGTACATAACTAACGACGTGGTTAGTAGTTTCAAACGACACAATAAATAAACCACCGACGTCTTATGCTATAATGAAATTTTTTTTTCTACACAAATTTGAGTGTGAAATAAATATTTGATAAGGACAAACCTCATATATACTGCAAGCACAATAGCCCCAATTTCTTCCATGCCTGCTAACTGTGTAATATCTGCACCAAACACCTCCTTCCCAATTGTAAAGGTCATGATCTTCTCCTGAGGCTTTAGTGTGGTTTCCACATAACGACAAAGGGATTGTAAGGAAGATGGCACCTCCACCTTTGAATAATCAGCTACTTCAACACCATGCTTAAAGAAATAAAGCAAAATAAAATGACGTGGTAATTCAATAAACATGACGGTTTAAAGAAAACAATGTCGTCTGATAATAATTTAAACGACGATAACAAAACACCGTCGTGTTGAATAATTTATTACGTCATAGGAAACAAATTACGACGTCTAATTTGAAAACAAACAACGGTTTAAAGAAACTATCGACGTCTGAAATTTGAAAAACAAATAAAAAAGGCAAATTTATGAGAATATACCTTTTCATCATGCTTTTCTTCATCTTCTTTTTTTCTTTCTTCTCTTCATCTTCTTTTTCTTCTTTCTTCTCTTCATCTTTTTTTTCTTCTTTATTTTCTTCATCTTTTTTTTCTTCTTTATTCTCTTCAACTTTTTTTTCTTCTTTCTTCTCTTCATCTTGATTTTCCCAGATTTCTATTTTAAGTAAAAAAGAAATATATATAAGACAGATTGTACAGAAAGTAAAAAAATTAAATCAAAACGTCGTGGTAAGGCATAACTTAAGATGGTATGTAAAAATTATGGATGTCTTAAAATTATTAAACGATGGTAAATAATAAACGTCGTGGGGATTCATATATTACGTTGGTAATGACTAAAACCGTCGTCTAAATCATCACAAAAGTTTTCAAAAATAACGACGTCTAATGGCGTGTAAAACAAGTAAACTAAATACGACATTGTATTGAAATACAAACGACGGTTTATTAATAAAATCGTTGTGGTATGTATTTCAAACGACAGTTTGCTTCATAATAACGACGTCTAATAGCTCTTTTTAAAAAAAAGAGAATTCAAAGTTCAGATATGTTACCATTTCTTCCTGCTTTTCCCCATTTTTGGCAGTATTATCCTCAAAATGTAGGGATCTCACATCTCCAGAGCAGCTTGCTTTGTTAGACATTGGATTTTTGGGACTTTGCTCTAGACCTTGGTTTTGACAGGGGCTAGTTTTCGGTTTAAGCATGCTTGGATCAAAATTGGGGATGAGTTGGGAAAGCTGACTCAGTAAATGTTCCCTCTCAGCCTCTACCAATTGCTTGGTTCTAGCCTCCATCCTTAAAGTCTCTTCCCTTGATCTAGCTTCCATCTTCTTAGTCTCTTCTTGAAGGACAATTCTTACACTTTCCTTCAATTGATCGGCAAACTTTACCCTCTGTTGTCTAGGTAAATTGAAGTATTGCCTAGGGGAAATCCCAGCACCTACCCCTCTTACTCTCCCTGGATGCTCAGGACCCAAAGCCAAGGTCAACACATCATTACTGCCAGATACACTGAGACTGCCTTCAGCGACTTGTTTTTGCAATTCATCCTAAAACAAAGACATATAAAAAAGTCAGCACAAGAAAACACACGACGGTTATTTATAAACAAACGACGTATTATATAATTTCACACGACGCAATAACATAGAAATCGACGTTATAATATATTTATAACGACGTTACTTAAAGAACGACGTGGTTAGTTGTTTCAAACGACGCAATAAATAAACCACCGACGTCTTATGCTATAATTACAAAAAACAGAGTAGCGATTCCAAATTCAGACCTGTAACGACGTTTTTAAAACATCTCGACGTAGTAATATATTCAAACGACGCAATAAATAAAACACCGACGTCTTATGCTATAATTACAAAGAAAGAGTAGTGATTCCAAATTCAAACCTATAACGACGTTTTTTAAAACATATCGACGTAGTAATATGATTCACACGACGGTAAATATAACATAAGACGTAATAAGAATTATCAGGGCAATACATAGTTTAATAAAAATTTAAAATAGAGTGAGTAGGCTTACAATTAATTTTGCTTTCTCTGCCACCTTTGGATCAGGGATGTTACCATCTTTGTCTTGTCTAGCTTTCTTCCATAAGGTAGATTGATCAATTTCTACCCCAGGCATGGTTTCCTCCAATTGATCCTCCAAACCAGCATATTCTTTTCGAGACAATCGATGATTGTACTCAAGTTTCTCCCTAATCTTTGAATGTTGAGAATGCACAGACACAAATTCTTGGGATAACCTTGAAGCCACAAAGGCATCCCATTCTGCTTTCTCTATGAATTTATATAGTTCAGGGGGTTGGCTTAATTTCTCCCTCTCCTTGATGTATGGAAGGATATAATGCCTCGTTAGTGTAGACTTGAAATCCTTCCATTTCTTGGCAGCAGAAGATAACACCAAGTTCTTGCCCCCTTGACCTACCACAAAAGCCATGTCAACAGCTTCCCAAATCTGCTCCTTTATATCCTTGGGGATTTCAGCCCATTTTTTGTCCACAAGTGGGACTCTGGAGCGTGCCAACACACCAATGTAAGACTGCATCTCTGTATGTGCAGGGCCACATCCTTTCCCCATTTTATTGTACTCAACAACTGGCTTGATTTTCTGAAATTTTCTCTTCACAACACGAGGCATTGTGCTCATACCTCGACCTGACTTTGAATCCTCAGAAATTGTGGTCGTGCTGGCTGGTTCTGTCTCAGCAGATGAAACAAACTTCATCTTCTTCAAGGACTTGTCTTGAGGAGTTACCATTCCAAGCTCCTTACCTCCATTTTTTTTCGAGCCAGAGACTTTACTTTGGTCTTGAGAAACCATGGTTACAGACAAATCAAACCTGCAAGTGAAAATATTTCAGGAAAAAATTAAGAACACAAACGACGGTTATTCATAAAACACGACGTATGATAAGATTTTACACGCCGCAATAACATAACATCAGACGTAATAAATGTTTAAAACGATGGTACTTAAACAACGACGAAACAATATAAAAGAAGACGTAATAAGAAGTTATTACGGCGATATTTACACTCCGTCGTGATATTTAAATTCAAACGACGTTAATATTAATATAACGTCGTGGTATTAAAATTAACACGACGTGAATAATAAGATACCGTCGTCTATATAAGATTCCAAACCCTTCTTTCTTTGTCTGTGAATGTTTGATTGCAGGTTTGATTTCTCTGAACAATGGTTTTTGTTTTTCCTAATTTGATAAAATACAAAGACAAAGAAAGAAATTTTGGAATCTTATATAGACGACGGTATCTTAGTACAACGTCGTGGTATTAACATTCACACGACGTGAATAATAAGGTACCGTCGTCTATATAAGATCCCAAAACCTACTTTCTTTTTCTTTGTATTTTATCAAATTAGGAAGAACAAAAACCATGGTTCAGAGAAATCAAACCTGCAATCAAACAAGAAAATAAAAAAACGACGGTCATTTTAAAAACAACTTAGATCAATTTTCAGACGACGCTAGGGCGACTGATGAACCGTCGTGGTCTACATATTTAACCACATAAATAAGAAGCTACCGTCGTCTTATTTAGTTGAAGTAGTTGTGTTCAAAGTTGGAAACTTTCCCTCTTTGTCTGTATATTTAATCAAACTTGGAAAGAATTAAAATGATTTTGGCCAGAAAAAAGGTAAAAAGATTTTCAAAACAAAAACCGTATGAGCATGCAAAACAACAACAAAAATAGTGAGAAATGAAAGCTTTCCTTTTGCGTGCAATGAAAGCTTCCTCTCGGAGTTTGGTGTTTAAGTTCAGAGAAGACGACAAAGACGAGAGAAGACGATGAGATACACTGACAGTTCTCTGACAAGGAAAAAAGACGAAAAGTTTTCTCTTGGAGATTGAAATTTTTTATTGGGTTTGGAAACAGTGCATGTGTAAGTTATGTAGACGAAAAGTTGAATATATACACAAACCGTTTCATAAAAGTAAGACGGCGGTTTACAGAGAATGACAACGTATAAATAAAAAACTATGACGATAATTTGAACTTAGGACGTGGTAAATAAATACGACAGTAGTGTTGTAGGTACCGTCGTAGTAAACTCAAAATAAAAGTCGATAAATTAATATCTCGCGTCATGGTACAAGGATTTAACACGTCGTTTTTTTAATATACCGACATGGATTTTTATAATATACGACGTATATTAAATAATAACCGACGTTGATTTTAAAATTAAACGGCGGTTTGTGTGTAATGACCGCCGTGGGTTTTAAAAATTTATTGTATAAATTTGTCGCTTTCTTTCAGTTTTAGTTTTCATTTAGGGTTCCAAGTTCTTCCTCTCTCACAGACACTCTCTTTCACCTCTCAAAGACAATAATTTGGATGTCTTTCTCAAAGAGAAATGGAGCTTACTCTCCAACAAATCTATGTCCACAAGAAGAAGCTTGTCATCTAGACTTCTCACTTCTGTGATCAGGCCTAATATGAGACTTAGTGCTTTTGAATACTCCTTGCTTTCCATCAAAAGAGATGCACGCCTAGCCTCCACTCGCTGTCGAAGGAAAGTTCGCTTCTCAGCACGGGTCCACTGCACCATTTCTTTGCAAAGGGAAATTTGAAGATCAGATGTGCCTGATCCTCTGCTCGATTTTCTTGGCTAAGAAGATCCGTCAGATTTGTGATAGCTTGTTCCTTTATCCGTAGAGCTTCATAAGAAGAA